CATTCTTAAATTAATGGTAAAATTCTGGCACTATTACTTACAATTATTACTGGGAGACCCGAAAATACCTAAGTCCTGATCTTCACCAAACACCCTCCCCTGGAAGGGTGGTAGAGAAGGTGTGCACAGAAGAATACACTAGCAGATAAGGGAAGACTGTGAGGCTCGCGATGTGGGCCCACCTTTCTCAAAATCTACTTCGGCCTAAGTAGTCTGACTAATTGAGGTGTTCACGTCTGCTTGATTTCATCCCTCCCAAAACCAAATCCCAAGTGCAGATGTTATCACAAGAGAACAAGGTTATCTGAATCTGCACTCACTGGCCAGTTACAAGGGAAATGAAAACGGAAAAATCACAAAGGGCACTTTCCCCAGGCTGGTGCCCGGTGGCCCATCTTAGTCCTTTCCTGGCCAGGACAGTGGCCCTATGACACGACCCACTGTCCTTGGACCTATGGAAGCGCTGCCACTTCCTGTCCCCAGGCTGAGCAGGAAATGGGAAAGGCCTGGCACTAGACAGGCTTCTTTTAGAAAAAGACAAGGCCCTGGCCCAAGGCACAGCAAATACTTCCGTAGAATCTGACCATGTCTCCATTTAAGTCTCTTCCCCCTCACAGGCTGAGTATGTGGTCTCCAGACTACAACTGCACTGGCCTGACTCCAATCAGATCAGCACAACTCAGTCAATAGCTCACAGAAGGTCAATACAAGGCTCGACTGTTACAACAGGAGTGACATCTTATTTGCAGTTAAAAACGGAAACATAAAAGCAGGGGCTGCAAGTGACATATAATACTGGAAACTGGGACACAATTCCTGAACCCAACATTAGGGCAACATCTAAGCAAACTTTCATATCTTTCTTTTCCTTCAAATGCAAAACCCACTGAAATAAACCAAGAAATATAAATAAGGGGGCAACAGCTGTGAGGCAGGTGGAGGAGGGTGTGCAAAGCTCCCATTAAAGTGTAGCACAGAATTAACTTCAGAGCTCTGCAAGTTCTACTCAGAAAAGTAAGGGTGAGCCCTGGCCGGTTGCCCAGTGGTTAGAGCGTCGGCTCACAGACCAGAGTCTCAAGTTTGATTCCGGCCAAGGGCACGTATCTCAGTTGCGGTTTGTCCCTGGCCCTGGTCGGGATCATGCAGGTGGCAACTCGTCGATGTTTCTCTCTCCCTCCCTCCCTCCCACTCTATCTGAGATAAACAGAAAAGTATCCTCGGGTGAGGATTTAAAAAAAAAAAAGTAAGGGTGAGCTTCTCGCCGAACATCACCAACACGGTGTTCAGGTACTTAGTGGAGGTTGGCCAGGTAGCCTCTGTCTCCTTTGGGTCTCATGCTGGGAAGCTAGTCTCAGCTGTACATGTTGTTGATCAGAACAGGGCTTTGTTGTACTCAAGGAGACAGACTATACCTTTCAAATGTATGCAGCTCACTGACTTCATCCGCAAGTTCCCCACAGCGCCCGCCAGAAGTATGTCCGACAAGCCTGGCAGAAGGCACATTATCAGTACAAAATGGGCGGCCACAAGACGGGCCAAGAAGATCGAAGCCAACGAAAAGAAAGTCATGCCCTGGCTGGTGTGGCTCAGTTGGCTGAGCGTGGTCCCATGCATCAAAAAGGTCACCAGTTCAATTCCCGGTCAGGGCACAAGCCCAGGTTGCAGGCTCCATCCCCAGTGTTGGGCGTGCAGGAGGCAGCTGATGGATGTTTCTTTCTCGAATCGATGTTTCTCTCTCGCGCTCTCCCTTTAAAATAAATAAAAAACATATTTAAAGAAAAGAAAGCCATGATGACGGATTTTGATGGTTACCAAGTCATGAAGGCAAAAAGGAGGAACTGAATAGTCAAGCTAGAAGTTAGGAAGCTTCAGCAGGCAGCTCTCCTGAAAGCTTCTCCCAAAAGAAGCACCTGCTGCTAAAGGTGCAGCTGCAGCGAAGGTTCCAGCAACAAAGGTGAGCGCTCCAGCCCGAAAGCTCCTTTTCACACATACGCGCACAAATAAGGATGAAAAAAAGACCCAAGTTACCATTATTTGCAGATTCAATTTTCTCCTTAGAAAATTCAAGAGAATCAACTGAAAAGCTTTTTAAAAATAACAGAATTCAGTAAGGTGGCCAGGTAAGGTAAATATTTTAAAAAACATGCCCAGCCAGTGTGGCTCAGTGGTTGAGTGTCGACCCATGCACCAAGAGGTCGCTGGCTGGATTCCTGGTCAGGGCCCATGTCCACGTTGTGGGCCAAGTCCCCAGTGGGAAGCATGCAGGAGGCGGCCAATCGATGTTCTCTCTCATTGATGTTTCTATCTTCCTCTCCCTTCCTCTCTCTCTAAAATCAATAAAGGGAAAAAAAATTAAAAATAAAATAAAAATAAAAAAACAACCAATTATTCTAAATACAAACTTTGTAATCAGGGTGGAAAAGGTATTTCTCACTGTAGAAAAAATCACAAATACAGAATATTTAATACAGATGGAAATAAAAGTCTTTGTAAATTAAGACCTCACTGAAGAAAACTGTAAAGCCCTGCTGCAGGGTGTCCTTCAAAATCTCAGCAGATGCCCTGGCTGGTTTGGCTTAGCAGTTAGAGTGCCGGCCCACGGACCAGAGTCCAGGGTTTGGTTCCCGCTAAGGGCATTTACTTCAGCTGCATTTTGTCTCCGGCCCCAGTTGGGGTCGGGTGGCAGCCACTCAATGTGTCTCTCTCACATCGATGTTTCTCTCTCTCTCTCTTCCTCCCTCTCTCCCTCCCACTCTATCTGAGGATAAATACAAAAATGTCCTCGGGTGAGGGTAAAAAAAAAGAAAAAATTAAGTAAAATCTCAGCAGATGGAGAAATGTCCTATTTGTGAGTGGAAAGACAATACTAGACAGAAAGCAATTCCCCCAATTTAATCTGTACATTTAAATTAAAACCCCAAAGGATTGCTTTTGGGAATTTGAAAAACTGATACTAAGAATTATTTGAAACAGTATAATTGATAATTTTTAAATAAGAATAAAAATGACCTATCAGATATCAAAATTTACTGCAAAATTACAAATGAAGCTAGAATCCAAAACAATACCAGTTTTCATACTGATTAGATTAGCATAATACCTAAAAAAAGAAATGGGGCCCTGCTGGAGTGGCTTGGTGGATTGAGCGTCGTCCCATGGACTGAGAGGTCCCAGTTTGATTCCAGGTCGGGGCGCATGGCAGGGTTGTGGGCTCGATTCCCAGTAGGGGGCATGCAGGAAGCAGCTGATCAATGTTTCTCTCTCATGTCAATATTTCTGTCTCTCTCTCCCTTCCTCTCTAAAAAAATCAATAAAAGCATACTTAAAAAAAAGAAAAATGGGAATAACCTAACCATCCATCTACAGGTACTTGGTTAAGTAAATTCTGACATATCCACCTGTAATGTATATAACAGAGCTGTTAAAAGGATGAGGTCGCCCAGCCAGCGTGGCTCAGTGGTTGAGCATCGACCCATGCACCGGGAGGTCACCGGTGGGTTCAATTCCCAGTCAGGGCACATGCCCAGGTTGTGAGCCAAATCCCCAGTAGGGGGCATGCAGGAGGCAGCCAATGGATGTTCTCTCGTCCATGTTTCTATCTCTCTCTCCCTCTCCCTTCCTCTCTCTCTAAAATCAAGAAAGGGAAAAAAAAAAAGCCTTCCAGGCCCTGTGATTCCCGGAGTGTATGGATAAGTGAGGATGTGGTAAGGTATTTCACTAAGTGGTGCTGTTGAAACTACTTATGCTTCTGGAAAACATAAAAACACTCAGGTTGACTCCTTAATTCACACCCTCTACACACAAATTTCAGAATAAATTAAAATGTAAAAGAAATAATAATGAAAGCATCTCAAAGAAGACTGAGGGAATCACAAGAATTACTTTCTACATTATATATTTCTGCACCATTTAAGTTTTGCAATGACTTTTGTCATCCATGAAAACAGACAGCTCTTAGGAGTGGGAAGATGTGGTCAAGCTTTAACAGCATGGGTCATAAAAACAAAGTAAGATGCTAAGAGCAAGGCCAGCCCAGAAGTAGGCCCTGATCTCTGGGCCATCCCTCCCTCCTCCCTGGCCAGGTTCCATCTCCTGTGGACCAGTGCTCTCTTCTGGTGACAGTCTACTAGGAACGAAAGTCTCTCCGAGCAATTCACTAAGCAGGAAGCCAGGCAAAGGACTGGCAGCACTGGCACAGTGTTAGTAAATAGACATGTTCACACATACAATAAAAATGAAACTATAGCCCTGGCTGGCTTGGCTCAGCAGCTGGCATGAGGCCAAGGACCAAGGAGTCAGGGGTTCAATTTCTGGTCAAGGGCACATACCTGGGTTGCAGGTTCGATCCCTGGCCCTGGTTGAGGTCGCGCAGTAGGCAACAAATAAATATGTCTCTCTCACATCAATGTTTCTCTTTCTCTCTTCTTCCCTCCCTCCTTCCTACTCTATCTAAAAAATCAAAGGAAAAATATCCTCGAGTGAGCATTAAAAAAATAAAAATTAAACTACAGAATCAAATCCTGGTCTTGTCTTCTCTTCTCCCTAGTTCCTGTTTTGATAACTTTTGTTTCTGTACTTTTTATATTTGTTCTGGAGTGCTTTTTTGTGGCCTGATTTGAAATAATAGGCAAGAGCTGAGGATTATGAAATACCAGACTAGGAATCATATTCAACTACTATCCCTGCAAGATGAACTTCACAGCACACTATTTTGGGAGCTAGTCATAGAAATGCCAAGGAAAAAGCATTCATAGAAAAACAAGGTTGGCCCTGGCTGGTTTGGCTCAGTGGTTAAAGCATCAGCCTGCGGACCAGAGAGTCCTGGGTTCGGTTCCTGCTAGGGCACGTACCAAAAAAAAAAAAAAAGATTTTTTAGAAAAACGAGGTTGAAAATGCTGTATAATCTCTTGGGAGGGGGAAAAAAATCACAAAATATACTGTATGTGCATATTAAAGGTGCTTCTGTAAAGAAAACAGTTTAATATTATTTAACACCAAATCTTTCCCAAGTTTATTTTTTTCACAATGTACAGACACTTTGGGGACAATGTATTATTAAAGAACACCATTCTACAATTTCTTAGATTCTGCTCGGGATCACCCTAAAGGAACAGGTCATCAGTACGACACCACGTCTCTAGAGTTCAAGGACTGGCTGATATTCCCTCCCAGTGGATGAGGCTGGTCCTCACCTTCTGTGAGCAGATTCTCTGATTTCAGCTGGGCCTTCCTTATGCTCTCCAGGTTCAGTTGTCGGTATTTTCTCTTAAAAAAGCCACACTAAAACAAAGGGAGGGGAAGCCCAATTACAGACCGAAGGTATCCATCCATCTTTCTTATAGAAAACCATGTATCTGGTTGTTGCCAAAAGAGCACTTATACTCCCTGGCTTTTCGCACTTCCTCTAAATCTCTCCCAGATAATACGATCTTTCAAGACCCCATCCTAATGCTGCCTTTTCCACAAGCCTCTCCTGGTGTCCGTTCCCCACTTGTTATTGATTTTCAACCTTTCTCTGAACTCCCAGAACTCTTTCACCTTTTAAATTGAACTAACTGTGCAAAGTATTACAGTTTTGGCTACAGTGGATCTCAGTTATGTGAAAGTCGGTCTACTATGCCGAGGTTACAAGAAGATCAAGTATGGTTCTCCTACATCAAGAAACTCATAACCTAAGAGAAAGAGAAATAATGACCACACAGTGCCACTTGGAAGGGTTTCCAGAAACCCTCACAGGAAAAGCTCACACTCAGCTCAAAGGACTCAGGACTCCCTGGGCTGAGTTTTAAGGGAAGAGTGAGAGCAAGGAGGAAAAGCAGGGAAGAGCGTGGGGAGGGCAGAGAGTTTGACTGCGAGCAGAGACGCGAACCTGTTTCGTTCAACCTCTGGAGAAGAAAAAAGCAAGACTTAACGGTGAGCGGGCAGAGGCCAGGAAGTGGAAAGTTTTGAACAGCAGAAAAAGAGTTTAAACATTAAAAGTGGGGAGGAAAGGAAAGGACTGAAACAGGGAAACAACAGCCAAATCTGTTTCAAGAAAATCTGTCCGTACTCCAATACTTCAATTAGATTTTTATCTTGTTCAGACAGAAACTGTCTTACTCGTTTGCCTGAACAGATGTGGATGTGTGGTGGAAGGAAGAGGGTCAAGTGGTCACACAGCCAGGGAAGCTGCTCTGAGTCAGGGACTGGCTGTCCCAGAAAGTACTGTGCCCAACCCCAGAGCCTTTCTGAACATGACAGAGCTGACCTTGAAAAGGATGATTATAATCACAATCAAAACCAGAAGGCCAGCAACACTGCTCCCAATGATGACAGGCAAAGAAAGGTACTCCTCCTCTTTCAGAAAGATGACAGTGACCTAGAACAAGACAAAGAGATCATCGAATAAGTCAGGTAAAGCCAATGAGAAAAAAATGCCACACATGATTTTAAGGAGCAAACTATGAGTCGAGGCCTAAAGGGCTGGGGGAGGACATTTGAACGGTAACTGATGAACTGCGGGAGGCTCGTGTGGACACCTCTGACTTAAACACACCAGAAAACCCAGTCACACTGAGATTTACCTATCAAAGCTTGACCAGGTTCCCACAGTAAATACTGGAGAAAAACCTCTTCACTTCCCAGCAGGACAAAGGAACCATTTGGAAATACACCAGAGCACTCTGTTTCTCGAGCAAGGCCTGCTCTCGAGGGAAACTAGTTAACCACAGCCTAACCTCCTGGGGTTTATCAGAGCCTAACTCACCTGGATGGGCGAAAGGAAATACTCAACTTGAGCCCACTCAAGCTATCTTGTCCCACCTATGACAGCTGAAAAGCACCTGAGAACAGTTGTGAAGTCCACAGTCCAGAGGCACACGCTCACTAACAGACTGAGTCCTACTGGATGTGGAATCTTAATTTTCTGTCAGTCTTTAAAACCTGAAGACCTTAATCCTGTGGGATCTGCTGTTAAACTGTCAGAGAATCCTTAACCGAAGGTCACAGTCTCCTGACAGACTTAGCTCTATTTCTATATTAGAAATCAAAATAGGGAGGAGGACGGAACACTTCCCCTCCCCCACACCTCACCACCCCCTTACTAAAGGCCTATTTACAGCAGTTCCTTTTAACTAATATATCATGTCCACCTGTCAAGGAAAAAATGACCAGGCATACCAGGAGGCAAAAAACACAATTTGAAGAGGCAAAGCAAACATCAAAACCAGATATGGCAAGGCTGTTAGAATGATCAGACCAGGAATTTAAAACAACTATGATTAATATGCTAAGGGCTCTAATGGATAAATCAGACAGCATGTAAGAACAAAGACAAAGAACAGATAGGCATTGTAAGTAGAAAGACGGAAATCCTAAGAAAGAACCAAAAAGAAATGCCAGAGATAAAACACTATAACAAAAACGAAGACCGCATTTGATGGCTCATTAGTGGACTGAACTTGGCTGAAGAAAGAATCTGAGCTAGATAAATTGAGAGAGTCCTCAAAAAGCAAACAGCACAAAAACTGAAGAAGAAAAAAAGCCAGAGTGCAGTAATATGATCTAATGCCCAAAAATACTTTATAGAAACTATTTTAATTTCTAATATAGAAATAGAGCTAAGTCTGTCAGGAGACTGTGACCTTCGGTTAAGGATTCTCTGACAGTTTAACAGCAGATCCCACAGGATTAAGGTCTTCAGGTTTTAAAGACTGACAGAAAATTAAGATTCCACATCCAGCTATGCCATTATACACCCTTGACCCCCAAGCTCATCTTCAAGATGACCCATTGTAAATGATCTTCAAGTCCTTCTGACAGCTCTTTTTGAGCTTCCATAAATCCCTAAAGCCTGATAATACATTTCCCCCACATGAAATATACGACAAAGATACTGGTCTGCTCCTCACCAGGTTGAAGTGTATGTTACCTCAAAGACACAAAAATAAATGCAAAACAGCATCCATGTGTACAATGTGTAGAGCTCTTCCCTTAGAAGCTGTCCCCAGCACTGAGTCCAAGGGCTCTCAGTCTCAGAGTCTAAGCTGCCTTCTCAGTAACAGGACTCAGCTGGAAAGCTCAGGGGATGTGCTTCCCAAGGGAGACCCAGGTACGGCTGCCCCAAGGTGCAGCCAGCATACACATCATGGCCAGAGTGCGGTCCCAGAACTTAAGTAGGGCCAAAGACCATCCAAACTCTGCCTGGCCCCGGCCGGGTGGCTCTGTTGTTTAGAGCGACATCCCATGCACCAAAAGATTACAGGTTCGATTCCCAGTCAGGGCACATACCTACGTTGTGGGTTCAATCTACAGTCAGGGCATGTACAGGAGGCAACAGATCGATGTTTCTCTCATGCTCGCTCGCTCGTGCTCGCTCTCTCTCTCTCTCTCTCTCTCTCTCTTTCTCTCTCCCTACCTTCCTCTGTCTCTAAAGTCAATTTAAATATATATATATGTAAACACATATAAAACAAACAAACAAAAAACAACTCTGCCTGCCCAAAACATTCAGTTCCTTTCACGCAAGTGTTTAAGCACGAAGGTCAGCAATGCTTCAGAGAGAAATTCTGTATGGGGTGGAAAGCTGAACATTTATCTTCTAATTGAGTTACCAATACTGGTTACTTCCTAGGGTTGACCCTCCAGGCACTATTTACATAGACTAACTTAAAAGGATTAAGTTAATCCTTTAGAGAGTAGAAGGGAGCAAAGCAACAGAGAAGGAGGAAGAACAGGAAGAGAGCTGGTTTTTTCTTCTATGGAAGTGAAGTGGGGTGGGGAGAGAAGTACTTGAGAACCTGGGTATAAGAAAATGATGAAAGGAGGTCCCAAGGTAATAGTGGTTTAACAGGCCAGATCTGAGTAGTAGAAATGCTCCTACTTCTCAAAGTCTCTTCTCTTTTCCCTCTTCCAAACCCACAGGTTTCCAACGTGCCTCAAAGCTGCCCTGGAAGAGGCGAAGGGAGAAGCAGGACACCGGACACCAAGGTTGTAGCAAACACTGATGGCGGCCTACTCAACAGCCATTCTCTTTTAGACTTTGTTCAGAAATCATGGTTGGTCTAACCTAATCATGACATGGCTTCGCCATCCCCTTTGCCAATGACTGACATGAAATCCAGTTCTCACTGATGACATAGGGAGAGGAGATATGTGCTGGGAGTTGTATGGAAATTTCCCTTCCTGAAAAGAGAAGGCACGTAAGGAAAAATCCTTTTGCTACTGACTTCTTGCTTCCTAGTCTATATTCTGCCAGGAGGAAATACAGCACTGGGAAAGGTGGCAGCTTTGTGCGGGCCATGAGGGAAGGCATCACCAACACACAGATGTGTGCTCAAGATTCAAAGGAGCCAGGCCATCGACACTGGTCTGCCTCCCTTACTAGATGAACAGCAGATGCCTTTATGGTACACAAGCAGGAGTTTTCCCTTATTTGCAGCTGAAATGCACTTGGATATATAGCTATTTATACTCATAGTCAGGTGCTTATTGTCAGGATCTACTTAATACTTTGTTTAGGGTACTGTATTGAAAGAAAATAGTTATAAAGAATCTATACTGTAGATATAAAAATATCAGTTAGAACAGGACGTATAATATAAATTATTTAAGAATGTGCATATAAGAAACTATTAATGATAACTCCCTTTGGCAAGATGGAATTGGGATGTGGGAAGAGGGAAAGGAAGGAACCATTATTTTTCAACTGGTATCTTTCTACAAGGCTTGGATTTTCTTCTAAGCATTATTTTATATTTTTTAAAAATCTGGGCAGTGGGATAACGGGGCACTTCTTTCTTCCGTATCATTTTCTGTATTAGAAATGCCTAAAAATAAAGGGAAATGTTATTCCTGACATGTCCAGAGAACTGTTCCTTTCCCTCCTCCAGAAAGAAAATCAGAGGATGTACTATTTAGCAATCCAGTCTCACTCTCTTAACATTCCTTCCCAGAATGAATCATGCCTAACTAAAGAGCTCACAGATGGCTCATCTCTGAAGCCAGCAGCACATCTAGTTGAGTGTCAACAAGAATGAAAACTCGGGAGCACACACAGTATTTGGTCCGTAGATTGCAGATATCCATCTGACTTGTGGGCATACATCTGCAAAACAAACCCCAGGAGTTCTAGTACTCAATCTAAGACTTGAGAAAGGAGTAACCTGTAACTGGTTAAGGTTGTAACTAAACTCTGATACTATACACTAGAGAGTTAATGTATACAAATAATAATTTCTCACTTTGGAAAAAAAATTCGAATACCTTTTCAAATCAAAGTATATGTAGCTGTTGGTTCCAGACTAGTTATTTCAGATTAGACTTCAACTTAGGTCTCTTATTTAAATGTCTCATTTCACATGTGTAAAAATTGAGGCAGAAGCTGACTAGCTCAAGGTCACAGAGGCAGTTGGTGGCAGAGTCAAAATCAGAGGTGATAAGACTGAAAACAGGCCCTGGCCAGTTTTGCCCAGTGGTTAGAGCATCGGCCGGTGGACCAGAGAGGCCCAAGTTCGGTTCCCGCTAAGGGCACATACCTCGGTTGCAGTTTGTCCCCGGCCCCAGTTGGGGTCGTGTGGGTGGCCAAGACTCGATGTGTCTCTCTCACGTGGATGTTTCTCTCTCTCTCTCTTCCTCCATCTCTCCCTCCTGCTCTAACTGAAGATACATGCGTAGATGTCTCTCTCTCTCTCTTCCTCCATCTCTCCCTTCTGCTCTATCTGAAGATACATGCAAAATGTCCTCAGGTCAGGATACAAAAAAAAAAGACTGAAAACAGGAACAGGGCAACAGCAGAGTGCCTGTACAGGGACTCTAAGGCTAAGCACAGTTTTCCTAGGACACTACCCAGAAACCAGATACCAGCCAGGGGTTACCTTAGTTTTGTGGTTCTCTGCATTCAGCCCCTCATATAGAGATTTGTTGAAAGAAATTTCACCAAGGATCTGTAGTTCAGTTACATCTCTTAGGATCTATAAGGAGGGAGGGAGGGAGAAAACAGGTTTTACACATGGACTTACTGTCTTGTACAGAGTTCACCATCCTTGCTCTAAATGTGTTCCATCTCTAGTATTCCTTAGTCTAGTTAATAGCCTCAGCAACCACAAATAACCCAAGCAAGAAACCTGTAGTTATTCTTTAACTTCTTTTCACTTTACCTCATATCACACCCTCACTCACCCTCCCCCAGTCAGTTTTCTTGACAATTTTTTTTCCCCTTTTTTTAGCCTTCCTTGTACTTGTCCCTTTTTCTCCATCCCCATAGCTACTTCTTCAGTTTAGAGCTCATCAGTCACCTGGATCACTGCAAGACGTTAAATTGGATTGTACTTCCCACTTTTGAATGAGTGATCAGAGAAGGCCTAAGGTTACATTTGAGCTAAATATAAGAAACCACACAGATGAAGATCTGGGAGAAGAACAGTGTCATACAGAAGCAACAGCAAGTGCAAAGGCTCTGTGGCCAGGAAAATATGGCAAGCTGGAGAAACAGAAAGAACAGAATAGCTGGAGTATAAGAAGCCAGGAAGCAGAGAGTACTAGGAGATGAAGTTGAAGAAGAAATCAGAGACCAAATCATGCAGACCTCTGAAAAAGTATGGATTTTAGTCTAAGTGCATTCAAAAGCAGAATGTTTGCTTTTAAAAGATAGCTGTGATGCCCTGGCTAGTGTGCTCTGTGGTTAGAGAGTTGCCCTGAGCATTGAAGGGTCACAGGTTCGATTCCTGAGGGCATACACCTGGGTTGCAGATTCGATCCCCAGCATGGTTGGGAACGTGCAGGAGGCAACCAATCGATGTGTCTCTCTCACATCAATGTTTCTTTCTCTCTTCTCTCCTCCCTTCCACTCTCTCTAAAAATCAATGGAAAAAATATCCTCGGGTGAGGATTAATAAACAACAACAAAAAAGATAGCTGTTGTGTGAAGAATGTTTGCAGAGGGCATGGCAAGAGCAGAGGCAAGAAGAGCAGATGGAAGGCTGCTGCCATAGTCTGGGCAAAAGATGGCAGCCTGACCTACAACAGTAGCAGTGGAGATGGAGAGAAGTAAATGGATTTAGAATATATTTTGGAGGTGGAATGACAGAGCTTGCTATTGGAATAGATGCGGGCAAGTAAGAAAGGGAGGAATCCTAGCCTGGAGGGTGTGGCTCAGTGGTTGAGCATCATCCCATGGACTGAGAGGTCCAGGTTCGTTTCCGGTCAGAGCACATGCCTGGGTTGTGGGCTTGATCCCTAGTAGGGGGTGTGCAGGAGGCAGTCTCTCACATTGATGTTTCTCTCTCACTCTCTCCCTATCTGAAGATGAATGGAAAAATATCCCCAGGGGAGGGAGGGAGAGAGAAAGAGAGAGGGAAAAAGGGAAAGAGGGAAGGAGGGAGGGAGGGAGGGCTAGAAGAAAAAAAAGAAAGAGAGAGAGAGAAAGAGGGAAGGAAGGAAGGAAGGAAGGAAGGAAGGAAGGAAGGAAGGAAGGAAGGAAGAAAGAAAGAGGAAGAGAGAGGAAGGAAGGGAGGGAGGGAGGGAGGGAGGGAGGGAGGGAGGGAGGGATCCCAAGAAAAAGTACCTAAAGTGTAAGTTACCCTGAACAATTGGGTAAGGAACAGGTGGAGGCAGAAGGTGGTGGGTCAAGAGACAGGGTTATATTTGTAAGGCTAGTATCCAGCTATTGTCCTGTCTAGGGGAGAGAGATGCCCTTGAGCTGCAGGATGATCGAATCTGGAGCATTTCACAGTCTCAAGTACCTGCTTAGACTGGCTCACGGAGAGCTCCGCAGCCACCGTCACATTTTCTTTATCCGAAGTGATGGCACAGCTCACTGAATGCCATTCCTGCACGCGCTGGAAAAGCGAAGCCTGGTTAGCAAGATTCCTCTTCGTGCAGAAAAGCTGTTATTTTAACACGATGCACACAGAGCACCTTAAGATCCCAGAACAGAGGGTGTGAGCAGTTGTATCGCTAACCCTGGCTGAAGCAAAGCCGCAGTCCTGGCGAACGTGACCCAAGGAAGAGGCTAGGGAGGGCGCTGGGCCGCCCTGCGTGTGCTTTCGGGGAAACCTCTGCTAAGGAGTCTCCGGGCCTCTGTTGTCACCCGCTTCGGACCCCCTCCCTCCCTCGCCCCCTCAGCCCCTCGGGACCAAAGTGCTCACCGGGTTGGGATCGCTCCCACAAGCGCGCTCCTGACTCTGCGTGCACACAGTGTTAGCCTGAAACGACAGCCATCCCCGCGACGCGTGAGCAAGCGAAACCGCCGTAGTGCCCCGCGCTCTGCCCGCCGCCGAGCCCGTGGTGATACGCATGCGCGTGGTCGGGCGCTAGGACCCGACGTGCAGGCGGTCGGTGGACGCGTCAGCTTCCGCGTCCGCCTCTGCGTCTGGAGAAAGTCTCGCGGTGTTTGGGTTTGAATCGTTTGGCGGGTGAGTTATGGCGGCGTCGCTCCCGCGACTCAAGAATCGGCTCTTAAGAACCTATGGGGCTGCGGGCGGGGGACCGCGGTGGCGGTCGGGTCGGGCAGGTGCGCAGTGGTTCCCGCCTCAAGATCAAAAGCGTTTCTTCAGCAGCACCAGTAGCAGCAACGCCAGCAGCGACGACCCCTCGCAGTCCGTCGGTTCCGACGACTCCGAAGACCCCGACTTCTCCTGCAGCCAGGTGGGTCCACGGCGGAGGCGAGCTGGCGGTCGCATCTCCAAGGACCGGCCGAGCCTGGTCGTGACCCCAAGACGCCTGAGGCTGCGTGCTCGGCCCCCGCAGAAGTGCAGCACCCCCTGCAGCTCACTCCGACCGCCGCTCTTCCCGAGCAGCAGCCCGGGCCGCCTCAGCCCGGACCTCAGTGTGTGCAGCCAGCCCAGCGACGGCGGCGAGCTGGGCACCAGTGCCTCCCTGTTTAGCTCCCCGGCCTCTCCGGGCCCCGGCCCTAGGTCTCCAGCGCCGGGAGACAGTGACATCGGGACCGGCCCCTCCGCCTCTCTGGATGCCACCTCTCTGCACCAAGCACCTCCTCCCTGCTCCCAGGAGGCAGCAACAGGACGAGGCAGGCTCACCAGGTTGACCCAAAGAACTCGTGCCAGCCTCAGGTCAGCTCTCCTTCGCCTTACGGACTCAGGAAACCCTGAGGATTTTGAGTTTGGGACAGATGGGAAGGATAAGAGGGAGTCCTGCTGTGAAAGGGAACTGGTGGTGAAGAGGCTGAGGAGCCCAGGTTTATCAAGAAACCGAAAGAAGAGGGCCACAGACCAGGGCTCTTGTCAAGAGCTTGAGGCCCAAGGGGCTGTCCAGACCGAATTCGCGGAGGCCAGTGGTTGCAAGGGCCGTACTGTACCTGGAAAAGTCAACAGGCCTGAGAGAGCTGGGGCAAGCCGGAAAAGGAAACATCAGGAGGCAGTAGAAACCTCCCTCCTCCATTACCACCAGTTTAAAAAGAGCCAAAAGACGGGGAACGATTCATTCCTCACACAGAACCTGCCTGATTTACAGAATGACTGCTCTTGGACCAAAGCCAGGGCGTCTTTCAGTTTCCACAAGAAGAAGATCGTGACCGCTGTGTCAGAAGTGTGCAGCAGCTACACCACTGCCAGTTCTCCCTCCAGGTCTCTCATATCAGAATATTCAAACACCCCTGTCTCAAACAGAACAAACGGTGCTCCATCCCCTTGGCACTCCTCTTCGATGTATTTGCTAAGCCCCTTAAAGACACTACACGTCAGAGACCAAAAGGCATCTGATGCTGAAAAGGTTTATAGGGAATGCAACCAGGAGGGCCCTATCCCCTTTAGCTCTTGCTTTTCCACGGAAAAGCTGGAATGCTGTGAAAAGATTGGGGAAGGGGTGTTTGGTGAAGTGTTTCAAACAATCACTAATCGTACACTTGTAGCCCTAAAAATCATTGCTATTGAAGGGCCGGATTTAATCAATGGAGCCCATCAGAAAACTTTTGAGGAAATCCTTCCAGAGATCATCATCTCCAAAGAGTTGAGCCTCTTGTCTGATGAGGTATGCAACCGCACAGAAGGCTTTATTGGGCTGAACTCAGTGCACTGTGTTCAAGGACCTTACCCTCCCTTGCTCCTCAAAGCCTGGGATCATTATAACTCAGTCAAAGGGTCTGCAAATGACCGGCCAGACTTTGAGGAAGACCAGCTCTTCATTGTGCTTGAATTTGAGTTTGGAGGGATTGACTTAGAGCAAATGAGAAGGAGGTTGAACTCCATAGCCACTGTAAAGAGCATTCTACACCAGATCACCGCATCCCTTGCGGTGGCAGAGGCATCGCTGCACTTTGAGCACCGAGACTTACACTGGGGGAATGTGCTCTTAAAGAAAACCAGCCTCAAAGAAGTCCACTACACCCTCAATGGGAAGACAGGTACCATCCCCACCCGTGGGCTGCAAGTCAGTATCATCGACTACACCCTGTCACGCTTGGAGCGGGATGGGATTGTGGTTTTCTGTGACATTTCCATGGATGAGGACCTATTTACAGGTGAAGGTGACTACCAGTTTGAGATCTACAGGCTAATGAAGAAGGAGAACAACAACTGCTGGGGTGAATATCACCCTTATAGTAATGTGCTCTGGCTACATTACCTCACAGATAAGATGCTGAAAGAAATGACCTTCAAGACTAAATGTAACACCCCTGCCTTGAAGCAAATGAGGAATAAGATCCTGCATTTCCATAGGACAATGCTGAACTTCAGCTCTGCCACTGACCTGCTCTGCCAACACAGTCTATTTAAGTAAGTGAAAGGTGCCTTACCGCCCTGGAAAGGCCACTAGCCTTGACATCCCCCAGTGCTGTTTTTAATCTTTATCCCCAGAGGAGGTTGAAATCCCCATTCTAATCAGAAACTGAAATGTTTGTGGAGATATTTAAACAACAAATGTTATTTAAAAATAAACTACACATGAGAACAAGTATGTACAACTTATAAACCCTCTTACTGTCAGCAGAGTCCATTCTGTAGGTTTCTTTCCTATTTTCATTTTTGAGCCTTGATACTTTATGTAGCCTAAGAAAAAAATTCAGGAAAGCCCAAGGCATCAGCTGTCATACCGATCAGAGCCTGTAAATATCATCAGGCTGGCTTTGGGAACCACACCACAGATCAGGACTCAACTGAGAGCAAAGAGGCTGTAGCAAAGCAGAGACCAAAGCAGACAGACTGGAGGGAGAGAGAAAAGGAAGATGGTAAATAGTTTATAGGGAGACATGCAAGAAATGCCACATGTTTATCAAACTCATTTGCTGATCACAGAGAAGTAAAATTTAGTGATTTTCAACAGGAAAATAAATGTCTCCATGGCTACTAAAAAGGCTTGAGTTTTTGCTTATTTTTCATCAAGGGAAGGAAAATAAATGTTGCTTTAAGAGCTGGGTGGTTGATATTCCTTCTGAACATGACTTGGATAATTTACTCCTAACGTGTTCCCTGGTTAACTAACCTTGTTTTTACTCTTTCTAGAACTCTAGGTTTTATACCTTTGAGAATCCATAGTCACTCAAAAGAGAGGTGATTGTGATAGAATAAAGAACTTCCTCTAAGTACCTGAGTCTTTGTCAGGTTTTTCACTCTGACAAGCTGGAGACCTTGTAATTTGATTGGAACACAGATTTGTAGTTGGAATTCGGCTTCAAAGAAATTTTCCCCATGTATCTGCAAAGTAAAGATTGGAAAGTCAAAGTTGGTGTTGTTTTGCCACTTGTAGCTTTGCAATGATAAGTCCTAAGCACTTACATTGAAGAGGAATTCTTTGTGGTCTGAAAGCCCCTGGCTGGTGTTCATGTACATCACTGATGGTCTGCAATTGAGAGGACATGTGTTAGGCCTCAAGGCCCCCTTGTTTTGTTTAATTTTTTTTTTCTTTATTGATTTTAGAGGGAGAGGAAGAGAGAAATAGAAATATTGATTGGCCACCTCCTGCATGCTCCCCAGTGGGGATTTGGCCCACAACCTGGGCATGTGCCCTGACTGGGATTCGAACAGCTGACCTCTTGGTGCATGGGTCGATGCTCAACCACTGAGCCACACTGGCCAGGCAAGGCCCCCTTGTTTTAAGTGAATCTGAATGCTACCAGTTGGATACACTAGGACAGAGGGCACCAGGTCCTTAAGAGGAATCAAAGCTAAATATCAAAATGTAGCCCTGGCTGGTTTGGCTCAGCAGTTGGAGCGTTGGCCCACGGACCAGAGAAGCCCCAGTTCGGTTCCCACTAAGGGCACGTACCTCGGTTGCAGTTTGTCCTCGGCCCTGGTTGGGGTCGTGTGGGTAGCGACCACTCAATGTGTCTCTCTCAGATTGATGTTTCTCTCTCTCTCTTCCTCCCTCCTCTCTCCCACAAGATAAATGCAAAAAATGTCCTCGAGGGAGGATACAAAAAAAAAGTAAATTGGTGGTAGGGCAGTTGGGATCAGATAGGATATTTGAATAGTATATATTTGACTTGCTTCTGTGTCTAATTATTCTTCAGAGTGGCCTTACTTTTCTCCTTTCTTTTCAGTCCCATAGCCCCTCTCTTCCCTCCTTAGCATCATGTCAGTACCCTTCTATAGCAAAACCAGTTGACACTACAATGATTACTACCTTGGATTTCTAGGACCCAACTATTATTGCCCTAGAGATCAGTGGGAGCCTGGGTTTTAAGCAGCCTCCTCTCAGGGAAAGGCAGTGCCCACATCCAGCCTGCCCACCAGTTCCACCCACAAGGGAGAAGCTATCCCGCAGGTGTTGGCCCCTTGGAGGTACTTACTTGGGAAGAACGGCAATGAAGGCATGCCTGAATTGAAGGCTGTGGGTCTTGCTGACCAAAGACCTTTCTTTATTGGAACTAAGAAATAAGAGTGTCAGTGCACAGCACATCTATATTTTCCCAAGGCTACTTCTGTAACTTGGCTTCCCAGGGTCACTGGGGTCAGATAAAAGACTCTTGGAGATAAGCAGAATGCAGAAGAGTTGCTAGAAGACCATAATTGGAGAAACATTGATTTAAAAGGATTTCTTAGCCTCAACAATATTGACATTTTGGGCCAGGTAATTCTTTGTGAGAGGCTGTCCTGTATATTGTAAGATGTTCAGCAGCATCCCTGATCTCTACCCACTAGATGCCAATAGCACCATCCCCCTAAGTTATGTCAATCAAAAATATCTTCAGGTGTTGCTTCTTAGGGGCAGAATCACCCCATTTGAGAACCTTTTCCCAACACTGTACCTCACTCAACCCCCAAACAGAGGTTTTGCAAATGGCAGAACTTTCCCAAAGTTAAATGAACCAGAATTAGAACTCCAGTCCAAGGCTCATTCTAGCAGACTATACCATAGTTTTACTTTGTGTGTCAATAAAAGAATGTTTTGAATATCTTTGAGAACAACCATTGGGACATAGATGCTTTCTCTGGGTTCACTGAGTTTCCCTTCTTCCTGGGCAGTTAGGGAGCCATAACTCTTATGCAGCACGCGGGAGGGAGATTTCCAGGGCCATAGCCTGAATCTGCTGTGATGCAGGCACTACTTACTTTTTGATTGTCACAGTGATGTCAGCTGTCCTATTTGGAAAGGCCTTCTTCTCTAGCTGCCAAACTACTGAAAAGTTTGCCTATTGAAGAAAAAAAAAGTCACTGATGCTCTCTATACCACTCACAATTCAAATAGCTTCCTACTATAACTAGACAGACCTGGGAAACAATTTCTATTCCTCACATTTTTGTATCATAGCATGCACCTACATTTGTTATTCCATGTAAGCTTTTATTCGCCTTCTACAACTGAGGAAGCATCTCAGAGATTCCCGTAACACAAAGATCCTCAGTGGCACATCAGGGACACACAGGACTAGTAACTTTAGGTCTGATTATCCTAACATACCACCCACTACTTCACTTTGCTGTACTGTAGTGAGCCAACAGTTTGTGGCTATATCCCCCACCCACCACTCCCTACTTTTCAGAGCAGACTTGGCAGTTCTAAGCACAGCTATGGATCTACTATACAGTAAAGGGGAATGTGGGACCACAACTGAGATTCCAATGAGACTGGAAAATAGAAGTCAGCAACTCCAGGTTAGTGAGAAGAGTCAGCCAATCAAAACACTCACAGATGACCTCCTGAGAATGGGGTGACCAATCTTGCAGTTCATGACCAGGACAGAAGCAGTTGCCTTAGGGTCATCACACTGAATGTTTGGGGAAGGAGGCTGTTAACACATAAAAGACTTCTTTAAAGGCAAAAAAGGGAGCAGTTTCCACACACCAATTTAGCACCATTTGCTGATTTTTTTCACATGCAAGACACCCTGCCAATCAGACTTGGTCCTTATCTTCCTCACAAACTGGGCAGGAGGGCTCAATGGTAGATGGTTGAGGAATTTCTTTTTTTGTGTGTGGTACGTACCCCTAGCGGGAACCGAACCTGGGACTCTCTGGTCCTCAGGCCAACACTCAACCACTGAGCCAAACTGGCCAGGGCGATGGTTGAGGAATTTAAATACAAGGCCCAAGGAGTTCTGTGAGAGAGGTACAGAGGAAAGCAGTAGAGAAAGATGAATTCCAACTTGGAGGAATCTGAAAGTCTTCATGAGGAAGAAGATCTTTGAATTGGGCTTGGGGCCAATGCAAACTGAACGAATTGAAATGGGCTGGAAGGCTAGCATGAGCCCCAGCACCACCACACTGCCTTTTTCAATCATGGTTCCTCATCTGGACCACTGAATACAGAAAATTATTTGAGCAACTACTACTTGCTTAACTCTCCCAAGGAGGGTACATCACCAGTTCCATTCTGGATGCTTAGGAGATCATTACATTCTTTTCATATAATGCATGCTATCCTAGCCCAAATAGCCTAAGACCATCAGGGGACAGACCAGTAGTTTGACAAAGCCAGGTTTATTGACTCATTACAATGAGGAAAACTGTACTGGTGTGTCTTTCCAAGCAAAGGAAAAGACAGTAAAGCACTCCGGGGAAGGGTGGCGTTCAGGTGAAATGTAAATGAAGCAATGTTTTGATAGGTTGAAAATAAAGCAGGGCTGTCACTCAGCAGCAGATCTGCACTGCATAGTGGACCCAGGGACCCATTTCCTTGGAAACTATTAAGATGGATGTGAAAAGTTTTGTCCAGAAATGCTTTAAGTGCAGCTCTATGCTTCAAAAGGATATAAACAGCTTCTCTTTGTCAAAGTGACTATGAGTGAGATGGTTTCATAATTACAGATATAACTTCAAACAGCAACGTTTCCCATTGCCAGTGACTTTAGAGGACAAAACTGCTGTGTTATGATACTTTATTGCTGTAGGGTATCCTTGAGGAAAATACCATTTCCTAGAATGTTGCAGCTGGCTTTGTGTCTGCAATCCCAGGCTGATAAATGGCAGGGCAGACTTTTACTCTTTAATCCCAGCTAATTTATTAGAGATTATTTCTCAGAACCTGGGTTAAGAAAGGCTACAGGCAGGCAAAATGACCCCACTGAAGGTTTGTGAGACAGAATGGCATGACTGGATCCAGGACATGTAGTTGGATTATAGTTGATTATCTAGTTAATAATCACTTATTGGATAGACCAAGATGAGGCTAAAGGCAAAATTAGAAGGTTGCTATAAAAAAGCAGGTATGCAGGGAGGAAAAGCAGGTCTGTAGGGAGGAAAAATCATGAGTGGCATGTTTCCAAAACTGCTATCATAGTTACCTTTTGAATCCTCTTAAACTGTAAGTTTCTGGGGTAGTTCAAAGCCATGCTTGTCATGTAGGAATCTTCCCCAAAATTCGTTAGGTGAATGTTCATTGTCAGCTCTTTTGTGATACCCACCACCAATTCCTGCCTGCACAGGGTAGGCAAGTAGAGTAGCGTTACCAATTTATTTATTCTGTAAAAACCTCAGTGCAATGCTATAGCACATTCTTAACTACTTACATAAATTGCCTAAAGGATTCATTGAGTCTAGATTTTCTTCCCCTTAACACTTGGACCTCCATGCCCACCTCAGTTGCTGTGTAAGATAATAATGGCTACCATTTATTTAGTACTTACCATGTGCCAGGGACTGTGCTAAATGCTTCACATGCTCAATTTATCCTCATAATCTATGAAACAGGATGGTTATTCTCCATTTTATAGAGAAGGAACCAGAAGCCAAAAGAGGCTCACTAATTTGCCTGAGGTCCAATGGCCTCAAAAAGGAATTGGGAGAATTGGATCTAAATCCTCTTTCTACCACCAGTTCTCAGTGACCCTAGGTAAGGCACTCCATCACACAAATCCATCCATTTCACATATATTTATGGAGTAGCTTCTCTGTGCCAGATACCTGCTCAACACTGGAGAAACAGTGGGGCACGAGACAGACACGAACCCCTTTCCTGGCCTTACCTTTCCCACCCACAAAATCATTCAAGCCCTTCTAATTTAAAGGCTATGGTTTAAAACACGAGTCTGTTCAGCCTGGTGAAGAGAAGACTTTGGGACTTGTGAGAGCTTCCTTCAGTCTGCTAAGGTACTATGGGGCCTCAGTGCAGAACAACTATTAGTAATTGGGATCTGTACGAAAATGTATCAACAATACAAAGAAAAATTTCTAACCATCTGAAACAGTCAACGCTAGAACATGTAGCTCTGGGATGTAACCATGTATTTTGTTGTGTGTGTGTTTTTTCTGTTTGTTTTTATCACAGTTGAGAAGAGGACAGATTGGAGGGAGAGGGGTCAGAGAGGAGCCTGCTGTGGAGAGCCATCCAAGAGATGACACATGCCTGAAATAAGACAGTAGTGGTTGGAAAGGAGAGAGGGAGAGAAGCCAGAGATGGTAAGGCCGTACTTGTGAGCAAAGCAAAACGGAGAGAGGACTCAGGATGAGCCCCAAGTTTAGGCCTGGATGACCGATTAGGGAGAGACCACAGGAGAAAGAGCAGAGGGTGGGAGCTGACCAGAAGAGTTCAGTCAGGGAAATGATGAGAGGTGTTTATAGGATCACAAGGTAGAGATGTTGAAATGTCAGTTGGATATGCTGTTCTAGAACCCAGGAGAGAGGTCTGAGAGTCACCAGAATATTTTGACAGGGGTTCTTAAGCTGCAGGTGGGGGAGTTTCAGAGGCCCAGCATGCTGTATGCAATGCGCATGTGTCCTAGGGAGAAAGGTCTGTAGTTTGTCTTAGATTCTTTTTTTTTTACTTTTTTTTTTTTAATCTGAGAGACAGAAAGAAAGACATCAATTTGTTGTTCCACTTATTTATGCATTCATTGGCTAATTCTTGTATGTGCCCTGACCAAGGATTGAACCCACAACCTTGCCATATCAGACCGATGCTCTAACGAACTGAGCTACCCGGCCAGGGCTCCTTAGGTTCTTTAGGAGATCTATGTCCACAACCAGGTCAAAAAACATTGAAACATTTGGGGGCTAAAGATTAGGTTTAATAATACTTTTGAAAAAAAGCAGAGACTGCTTGCTATGTACACTAGGGGGTGTTGTAGGACCAGGCTGTGGGTGCTGCATCTCTAGTTCACAAGGGTTGGCTGAGAGGGTGGTGCTGGGCTGTAATTAATTCCCTGTCAGAAAGACTGTGCTTATTAGGCTGGATTCCAAAGCAATCAAAAGTCTTAAATTAGATCCTTGACGATTGAGATGGGCAGCGCTAAGCCATCCACGTCTGAAACGCGAGCCCTGCAGATGACTATGAGAAGACATCTCATACCAGGACTCGGGGAACAGTGTTCTTCCCCACAGGCACCAGCACTGGCCTTCAGTACCGGCTACACACACCACTAGTAGCCAGGAGAGCATTTTAAGACCACCATGTGTCCCAAACCAAACTGGTGATCTCTTCCTCCCCACCCTGCCTTCCAAAATCATTCTTCCAAAGGCCTCCCCAGTTTAGTTCTTGGCATCACTGTCATTCTAGAATTCACTGTGGTCCAATAGAACTTTTGCAGTAATGGAAATGGCCTATAGTTGTGCTCTTTGCTCTCACTAGCCATATGTGGGCATTGAGCACTTGAAATATGCATAGTACCACTGAGGAGCTATGCATTAATTTAAATTTAAATTGGACAGCACTGTTCTAGATGCTAAGGCTGAAACTTTGAAAGATGTCTTAGACCCTTCTCTTTCCCTCACTCCCCACATCCAATCTGTCATCAAATCCTGTGGGCTCTAATTTCAGAATATAACCACCTTCACCCTGGCCCGTTTAGCTCAGCGTCGGCCTGCGGTCCAGAGAGACTGAGGTTCGGTTCCCGCTAAGGGCATGTACCTCGGTTGCAGTTTGTCTCTGGCCCTGGTTGGGTCATGCAGGTGGCAGCCACTCAATGTATCCCTTTCACGTCGATGTCTCTCTCTCTCTCTCTCTCTCTCTCTCTCTCTCTCTCTCTCTTCCTCTCTCTCTCTCTCCCTCCCACTCTATCTGAACAAAAAATGGAAAAATGTCCTCAGCTGAGGATAAAAAAAAAAAAAGAAGACTATGACCACCTCCACTGTTGCCACTCTGGCCTGGGGCACCACTCCTTTTCACCTGAGCTGCTATGAAAGCTCCTCGCTATCTCACTACTTCCACCTCTGCTCCTACGGCCTGTTCTCAACACAGCAGCCATATGATCCTGTTAAAGATGAAAGATCCGCCCTGGCCGGTTTGGCTCAGCAGTAGAGCATCAGCCCGCAGACCGATGAGTTTTGGGTTCGATTCCAGCCAAGGACACACCTGGGGTGCGATTCATCCCCAGCCCTGGTCGGGTCATGTGGGAGGCAACCAGTCGATGTGTCTCTCTCACGTCAGTGTTTCTGTCTCTCTCCCTCCCACTCCATCTGAAGATAAATAGAAAAAAATATCCTCGAGTGAGGATAATTTTTAAAAAAAGAAGAAGATCAGCCAGGCTGGAGTGGCTCAGTGGTTGAGAGTCGACCAGTGGTTGAGCATCAACCCATGCACCAAGATTGCTGGTTCGATTCTCGGTCAGGGCACATGCCCAGGTTGTGGGCCCAATCCCAAGTGGGGGGCATGCAGGAGGCAGCCAATCAGTGTTCTCTCTCATTGATGTTTTTATCTCTCTCTCCCTCTCCCTTCCTCTCTCCCTCAAATCAATAAAGAAAAAAATGAAAGCTCATTTATTCCTCTGGCTTCCCAGCTCCTAGTAAAAGCCCCATGGAGGGCCTGAACAGCCCTGTGTGAGCTTTCCCATGCCTACGCATTACCTCTCTCTCCTCCTGCTGCACCCATGCTGCTGTCCTGGCCATGCCTCCCACCTCCAGGTGTGCTCCCATCTCAGGGCATTTGCAGTTGCTCTTCCTTCAGATACTCACAGAATTCATTCCTCGACCTCCTCCTCCGTGTACCAAAATGCCTCCTCAGCAAGCCCTTTCCCGACCACTCAATTTAAAACTGCCACCCCACCTCCACCCAGCACTCCCTCCCACCTTCCATGCCTTATTTTTCTTCATATTATATCTTGATAACATACTATTTACTTATTTCTCATTTCCCCCTAAAAGCAGCAGGAGGGCAGGCTCTCTGTGCTGTTTGCTGCTGTATCTGCAGCACCTACAGGGCTTGGCACAGAGTAGATGCTCCATAAATACTTCCTGAATTAAGAACTTTAAGAGGTGAGTCAGGGAAGAGGGTCCCTCTAACTGAGGTGATCCTGGGAGCAGGAGACATTGGGTTATGAAAATAGCATTGCCCGGGTAATACTTATATTACCTGAAGCTTTTCTGTGTCAAGAGATCTGGGTTCAAGTCTACCAGATGACCCCTGTGCCCCCATGCAAGTTCTCAACTACTGAGTCTGTTCTCTAATTTGTACAAAGGGAAAGCAAATCTCTGTGTTGCCCCCCGTCATGGGGTGGCAGAGGAAGCAAAGATAATAAATGCAACGCCCTTTGTGGGCCACAAGGGGAGGGGGAAAGGAGAGGGGAAGGGAGTAAGCAACTGATCCGGATGAGGGGTTGGCACAGGTAAGCGTCAGGAGGACGTTAATTGCAGAAACTCATGACGGGATCCGACTCACTGGGAGGTGGTGGTGGCCAGCTGTAAGTCCGCAACACAAAACAGCTTATTCTTGCAGGCCTTCTCGTAGGGCAGCTAAAACGAGACAGAGGCAGGATCAGCCCAGGGACCCCACCATCCCTGGCAGCCTTGCCTCATGATCTTAGGACAGGCCCGTCCCTCCTGCTGACTTGACAAGTGCAGTTACAGGGAGGTGAAGGCTGACAGGCTGGGTTGTGTCCACATGGCTGTGACTGTGACATTCCTTGATCTGTCAGGGGTAGGAGGCACAGTCAGGTAACAAATGACAGGTGATGGTCTGTCAGGCAGGTGGTGTGCTTGGTCCTACGGCACAGGTATACCATGATCAGGCCTCTGGCCAAGGTCAAAATGGGGTGGGCCTTCACGAATGGTGGGAGTACCCGCCACTTTTCTCTCAGGAGAATTAAGCAGCAACACTCACAACTCACTCTGTACTTTGACATTTTTGGGGAGGAAAACCTGTATGAAGAAAAGCTTCCTTAGTCCTTTCAAGTAGCAGTAGGAACAGCAGGGGCACAAATGGAGGACACCTAACCAGATGTTGTCAAGATCCAGTCCTGCACACCCTCTGACCCCATGGCGTCTTCTCTGGAGATTAAATACCCCCTTTGCAATCTTGTCTACACTAAAACAAACTAATTCAGAAAGTCACATTGGATCCAAAGGCCCGGTCAAGGTCGAAAAACCCTAGTTCAGGTTGAGAAATTAAATTTTCTAAAGAACGTGGATTTATTTTTTATCATGAAAGAAACACAAGCAGCTCCTTAACTGGGAAATCTCTGCATTTCTCTCCCAGCAGCCAGTGACCACGCAGCAGCGTATGCAAGGACTCCCCATGGCGGGAGCTGGAATGGAGCCAGAGCTGGAAAGGAACCTTCTTCCTGGAGAAGGGAGATGCAGTTTCCCTTTGGCTGACACTTTGGCTGGGTCAACAGTTTGGGACAAAGTATTGCTTTGTTTTGTTTTTAGTTTTGTTTTCAGTATAGCCAAGTAGCCTGCTCTCTTTCACCCAATCCCAGTGAGAGCAGGGTTCAACTACCTTAAGCTCCCAGCTAGAACTCATTCTCTGGAAACATCTGTGTGCTTAAACTAATACCAAATCAGTGGAATAAAACATATCTTTGCCAAACAATCAAAGTACTGATTAAGGTAAGAATCATGAATGGCCTGGCCAGTGTGGCTCAGTGGTTGAGCATCGACCCATGCACCAGGAGGTCGCCAGTTCGATTCCTGGTCAGAGCATATGCTCAGGTTGTGGGCCAAATCCCTAGTGAGGAGCATGTGGGAGGCGGCCAATCAATGTTCTCTCTCATCGGTGTTTCTATATTCCTCTCTCTAAAAAGAAAAAAAAAATTAGAAAAAAGAAAAGAATCATGAATGGATTACATACATAATCTCCAACCATCTCCCATAAGATAAGATACTTAGCAACTACTAAGGGAAGTAGCACCAGTAATGGGACAAAGCAGTGTACCCCTGATATGATGGAGTCAGAAGGACACAGCTTCACTTTTGTAATATTCTTGCCCAAAATGCATAATCTAATCTAATCATGGGGAAACATCAGCCAAGTTAAAGTTGAGAAACATTCTACAAAATAACTGGCCTGTATCCTTCAAAAATGTTGAAGTCATTGAGCAAGGAAGGATTGAGACATTGTTTCAAATTAAAGGAGGTCAGAGATAAATGATGACAAAATGCAATAGATGATCCTGGATCAGTGGACAAAATTATTTTCTTTTGCAATAAAGGACATTAATAGGATGAAATTTAAATACATTAGATAATAGTATTTTATCATTGTTCATTTCCTGATTTTGATTATTGTATTGAGGTTTTTGTAAGAGAATGTCCTTGTTTTTTAGGAAATATATACTGAATATTGGCGAGTAAAGAGGCATCACATCTATAACTTATTCTCAGATGGTTCAGAAATATAAATGTGTGTATATGTATAATATATATATATATGTACTGTTTCTATGTATAGTGAGAGAGAATGATAGAGCAATGTGCATGATAAAGCATGTGATAAAATGTGAAAATGTTCATATTTGAGAAATCTAGATAAATAATGCATGGGGGCTTTTTTGGACTATTCTTATAACTTTATAACAAGCCAACTATTTCAAAATAAAGTTTTTAAACAGTAGAATATATATAATTAATGACAGTCGACTTACTGACAAATTGTATTACATTAGTTTTCCCAGTCTTTTCTGCATCTAACTTGATGTCAATACCACATTTTAAAAAATCGTTTACAAAATAAATATACTATTATAAATTCTTTATAAAATAAATATACTATTATAAAATAAAGTCTCTTGCCTAAAAAGTGAAGATGGCAATCTTTGTTCAAAAGGAACCTGATTCTTTCTCTTCCTGGGCAAATGAGCAGTGAAAATGTCACTCTGATTATGTTGCTGTCTATTTACTATTTGTTTTTTATTTTATTTCAGGGAGTGAGAGAGAGAGAGAGAAACATTGATTTGTTGTTCTACTTATTTATGCATTCATTGGTTGATTCTTGTATGTGCCTGGACCAGGCATCGAACTGCAACCTTGGCGTATCGGGACGACACTCTAACCAAGAGAGTGAGCTACCCAGCCAGGGCTCTGTTCATTATTTGTGATTGATACATTGGGTAGAGACCAAAACTGGAGCTAAAAGACTTGTATAATTTAATTAACAGAGCATTTGGGTACAAATATTGAACCGCTGAGACTGTCCTATGGTTACTTGGAAATATACTTATATTACCTGAAGCTTTTCTGTGCCAGCATGAACTACTGTTGGCTCTTTAGTTTTAATTTTGGAGACTCAGTTCATTCCAGCTGACTGTAATTATTGCTCTTTCATGCTCACGTTGTTACTTCTTTGATCCTGCTGATTTTTCTATACCCCATAAACTCTCTAAATGTAGATGGGTAGAATATTCTAGGGGTCAGGGCTTGGATATAAACAAAATCACCTTAGTTATCATATTATCAGGAAATATGACTGCTTTCCCCTTCTGATTTTTCTTAGTTATGAGAAAAGTTTCTTGCGACACTACCTGCCCATTAGGGTGCAAGTTTGGTGGGCCAGACATTCAGCCGGAGGGCCTGGGCAGGACCTGGGGGGACGGGTGCTCCCAAGGGCATCTTCTCTGCAGTGTAGGGCAGACTGGCGCCAGTCCACTCCCCCACTGGACCCCACCACAGGATCATCAGGCAGTGTACTCACATGGTTCATTAAACATATAGCAAGCACTCTGTGAACATAAAGGAACTAGCTTTGGGTGGTAGTTTGGAGATGTGGTTACCCACCAATGAGGCCCATTTGTCCAGTTAGGGGCCCAAATGCTGTCTGAAGACCCTCCCGATTCTAACATTCTTTGAAGTTAGGGGAGCAGGTGCTCTTGGGTGGATGGCTCCCCAGAGGGTCTGATCCTAGCTGCGGGTAGAGTCACCTGGAAGACGGCGAAGTGCTCAGTGTAGAAGTCCAGGACAGGGCGGGGACGGTTCCTCTGGGCCCTGGAGGTCTGGAGTTGGTAGCTGACGCTGACACTGATGTTGGAGAAGCAGTCCTCTTCACAGAGCTGCACAGCCAGCAAGGGGTGCGGAGTTGCAGTTGGGTGTGGAGGGAAAGACGACAGGAGAATACTTTTAATTTTGGTGTAGTCGTAGTAAGAAATAAACAATGAAAGTGGTGAGCCGGGAGTCTTCAGCCTCTTCCAAATAAGCCAGGGATGCTTTCTTTTTCTTTTCTTTTTTTGGTACATGCCCCTAGCATGGGCCCGAACCCGGGACTCTCTGGTCCGCAGGCCGACACTCCAACCGCTGAGCCAAACTGGCTAGGGCAGGGAAGCTTTCATTTAACCAAGCTGCCAAGAGCGTTGGAAAAATCTCCCTGGATCTGCTATGGCCTCAGAGCTCATAACTCCTTATGGTTTCCACCCCAATCACAGAGGTATTCTAGCCATCATGAGTTAAAAACTGACTTGACTTTATTCAGAGAGCAAATGAGAGGCACAGAAGGGAAGACTCATCTGTGTTTACAAAGATCTTTCTCAAAGCAGCATGGAGGACAGATTAGAGGGCAAAACCAAAATAAGGAGAATGACTGGCATGACATTTGCCACACTTTTTTTTTTTTAATTTTAATATATTTCTTTATTGATTTTTAGAGAGAGGAAAAGAGAGATCAAAACATTGATGAGAGAAAATATCGATTGGCCGCCTCCTGCATGTCCCCTACTGGGGATCAGGCTCACAACCTGGGCATGTGCCCTGACCGGGAATCAAACTGGCAGCCTCTTGGTGTATGGGTCGATGCTCAACCCCTGAGCCACACCGGCCGGGCACATTTGCCACTCTTTCTTTTTTTTTTTTTTTTTATCCTCACCTGAGGATATTTTTCCATTTTTGTACAGATAGAGTGGGAAGGAGAGAGAGGAAGGGAGAGAGAGAGAGAGAAACATCGATGGGAAGGGACACATCGAGTGGCTGCCACCCACACGACCAACCAGGGCCTCGGACAAACTGCAACCGAAGATAGAGTGGGAGGGAGAGAGAGGAAGGGAGAGAGAGAGAGAAACATCGACGTGAAGGGACACATCGAGTGGCTGCCACCCGCACGACCAACCAGGGCCGCGGACAAACTGCAACTGAAGTACGTGCCCTTAGCGGGAACCGAACCCGGGTCTCTCTGGACCCCTGGCCGACACTCTAACCGCTGAGCCAAACTGGCCAGGGCTGCCACTCTTTCTGATGAGCCCTTCTGCCATGGTAGAAGCTTTGAACACATGAGAGTAGGTAAGCATGACTCCCGGTGGAAAGGGAGGCTATGCTTTTATTTAAAAAAGCCATCGACTCACTAGAAACTCTTTCTTACTCCAGTTAACAACTGGAACAGATGTGGGAACAGATGTGTAGTCAGAAGTATAATTTATAAGTTTGTTGGAATAAATGATTCTTATCCATCCAAAGTTTGAGGTCCTATCAGGCCCTGAGTCCTGACAAATACATTTTCTCATGTCTCTAGGTACCTTTGTCAGAAGTAACCCTTTGTAAATGACAGCTATTGTCTTTCTGTTCCTACTTTCATTCAATTTTTCAGATGCTGATTGGAAGAAGGCCCCTCAGCCCCACTGTTGTCAGGCGAGGTTAGATGTCAAGGGAAGCGGAGAAACAGCAAGGAGAGCATTGCGCTTGTGCAGAGGCTAGGCAGCGCACAGACCCAGTTAGAGTTCCATTGCAGCAGGTCTTTTCCTTTGGGTTTCTGGCATAATCAACTACACCATTATGTGGTTCTTGACTATTATCATTTTAATTGTCTAGTTTGTATGGACTGACAGGTGTCTTTCATTGCACGCCCTCAGTTCTTTTCTCAACAATTAGGACCCCTCTGGATGCTTCTCAGCTCCTCACTTACCTCTGCCTCCATGAGCACGAGCCGCAGGGGCTCACAGAGAGGCGACCCGTTGCCCCACTCCCAAAGGTGACTCTGCCGGGTGCTCTTGTCCAAAAACTGCAGCCTCTTCCTCTGCTTCATCATGTCCACATCCAAGGTGAAATTCAGAGATGTCCCTCTGAGGGCTGGGAGTGAAGACCAGACCTTCCTGATGAGGCTGGGACGGGCAAGCCCCGGAGGCAGGGCCCCACCTGCTGAAGTTCCTCAGGAGCCCCTCCTGACTGGCCCACTCCGGTGCTTCCCCGAGGCTGGACGTCTGAGTTTCTTCACTTTGAAGGTACTTTTCTCGTGGTCTTCTGGCATTTGGCCAGGTCTCTCAGGGCCCCAACCCCAAACCCAGAGCACCACATTCTCAGGGCTGAGCCAGCCTTCCCTAGGAGAGGGAGCACTCGGGGAGGAGGTGGGAATTCGGGGAGGAGAAGAAGGGGGGACTAACATGGGGATGGAAAGAGAAAAACCTGCGGACACAGAGCTGGAAGCGCCTTACAGATTAGCTGGGCCAACCCCCTTACTGTACTGAACAGACACGGGGCCAGCGACTGAGACAACGGCCTCGTACCACACGGCCCCTGGGCAGCAGCCCTTCGGCCCCACCACCTGAATCTTTCAGCCCGCACAGCTGGACTGGACAGGCCTGTCACTTCCTCCCGGTTTGATGACGGCCTCCTTCTGCAGTAAAGACCCCCAGCTGGGAGAGTGCTTTCTTACTTGCAGGAACCAGAGGGACATCTCAGGATTGCTGCTGAGACAGTAAACCTCCCTCAGGGGCTGTTGCCCACGTGTTACTGGAGGGGAGCTCAGGGGTGGCCAGTAGGTGCTTGGGCTGTGAAAGCCAGGCCCACCCTCTGCCTTCTGGAAACAGTTTCCCAGCCAGTGCCAGGTAAGGGGGTGGGAAGAGAGGCCAGGCCTCTGGCAGGTCATCCAATCCCACCTGGGCCAGGGAGACATCGTGAGGAAGGAAGGGGAGAAGATGACAATCAGAGAGAAAGAGGAAGGAGCCCTGCACATGCACAGGCGTGGGCACAGCAGACCGAGATGGAGAAATGGCTGCCCTTTTCTGAGTCTTCTTTCAGAAACGCAAGCCTTCAAGTGCCCCTTGAAGGGATCCAGTGCCCCTCTTCCCAACAGCATCAGGGACGCCCCTGCAGAGTGCGGACTTAGCAGCAGATCACCCTTTACTAGGGCAGTTCACACTAAACAGAACCTCATGTCCAAGGAGCTGAGCCCCACAGCGGGATTCAAACACCAGGGCCTCATAACACGCATTCCCTGCCCCCGCCCCCATCCTCTTTCCCTGCTCCCCTGCCCCGAAGCCAACAAGGAATGACCCCAACACTGGATGGGTCAGCTAGGCTGCCTGTTACCTGACTTGGCAGCTGCAGTCACAGAGTTGATTTCAAAACACAAAACTGCATACACACTGCTGTTAAAGCCAATGGGCAGCGCCTTGGGAGTGAAGGTCATGGACACCTTCAGGTGAACCACAGGTCTTGAGCTAAATAAAGCAGCAAAGAGGACCGTGAGAAGTGACTGTAGGTCTTCTGTATCAGTACTGGGCTCACTCATTCATTCAATGACTATTTATTGAACATCTCTAATGTGCTAATGCTGTTCTGAGTCTTCAGGATACAGTAGGGAAAGAGACAAGACGCTGCTCTAGTGGGAAAATAGACAACGAGCAAATAAACAAGAAGAAACAGTAAAATACTATGTAGAGGCAAGGCTATGATAAAAATAAAATAGGATAAGGTCACAGAGACTGGAGACTTCTTAGGTTGGGTAGTCAGGGATGGTCTCACTAATGAGGAAACATTTAAGTCAAGATCTGTTTACAAGAGAGAGCCAGCTATGTAAAGATCTAGGGGAAGTGCATTCTAGGCAGAAGGCACAGCTAGTGCAAAGGGCCTGTGGTAGGACTCAGCCTGGTTTGAGGAACACAAAGGTTAGCATGACAGGAGCACAGTTAGTGAGACAGAAGGTAGTAACAGGAGATGGGGAGAGAGGAGCAGGAAGGGCAGGCCGTGGAGAGCTTGGTAGGCCACAGTGAGGAATTTGGGTTTTACTCTAAGTGGGAACCATTGAGGGGTTTTAAGCAGAACGAAGGGATCACTCTGGCTGCTGTGTGGAGAATGGAGCACAGGGGAGAGGTGACAGTCTGTATGGGGAGGTATTCTGGAGGCAGCCGACAAAAACGTGTTGACGGGGTGGCAGGGGAAGGAAAAGAAGACTCGAGGATGACTCCTGGGTGTTTGTCCTGAACACATGGTATCATTTGCTGAGATGGGAAGCCTAAGGAGGGGCCTGCGGGTGAGAATGAGGGGTGAGGTGGCCCATTGTTAGACTTTGAGATGCCTGGAAGCAACAGCCAAGAGGGGTATTGAGTTGACAGCCAAGCCTGGGACTTAGTGAAGAGCAGAGGGCAGGCAGGTGCCCCGTCAGCCTATGTGCAGCCCTGGTACTTGGTAATGCCCTCTGGGAGGTGCACAGGACCTCTGGAAGGAATGATAACGACAGGGCAGCCATCACGCGCACTGTGCTCAAGGCTTTGCACAGATTCTCTCTGTGAGGTAAGCACTGTTATTATTTCCATTTAGAGATGAGGAAATCGGGGCTTAGAATTCAATAACCTGCCCAAGCATGTGCTGTTAAGTGAGAGCTGAGGCTCAAACCCAGAAGGGCAGACTCCAGAGCCGGGCCCCTCACCACCCACTCTGTCCCGTCAGGGCCTGGTATCTTCATGCGGTCACTCAGGGCAGGGCAAGCGGGCGAGGCCGGGGCCTGGCCCCCCAGAAGGCAGAACAGACCCCTACCGAAGCACAACCGCCCGACCAAGAGTGCCCACGGCGATGTCATCAAGGCCATCGTCATTCAAATCTAAGCCACCATCCACGGACGTGCCAAAGTAGTGGAGTCCTGGGGCCACCGCTGAGGCTCTGATTCGCTGTGGAGGGAGAAACACAAGGCGGGGGGGGGGGTCCTTTGGTTGTATTCAAAATGCAAATCAGCATTGGTCCCAACCTTTCAATGGGAGCCCTCGGTCAGAAACTGGAGAGAGCAGAGCAAGGTCTCCCAGGGAGGGCAGGTAGGACTTGGCAGGTGGGACTTGACAGGGAGACACGGGAAGCAGGGGTGGAGCCGAGCAGGGTGGTCGAAGCAAACAGCCAGGGGTCAATGTGTGGGAGCAGGAGGAGAGTAGGGTACAAGAAGGCTTGATGTGGGGGTGGGGGTGGGGGTGCCTAATCAGACCCAGGGTGGAACAGGGGGAGGAGGCCGGAGGGGCAGGGCTAGTGGGAATGGAGAGGAGAGGCTGGGTGGGGAGGGCGCTAGCCTGTTAGGATGGACATGGGGGCTGACAGGCTGTGCCGAGTGCCAGGTGTCTGGGATCATCCCGGGTTTCTGGTGGGGCAGATGGCGCCCAACGGGCAGCAGGTGTTGGGGGGAGAGGATGCTCCCTGTCTGGCAGCAGCAGAGTGAGATGCTTGGAGCCATCCAGGTGAGGTGCTGGACAGACGGGGCTGAAGCTTAGGAGAGGAACTAGTTGGAGGTGGGTGACAGTGCCCCGCGAAAGATCCCGCAGGAGAGGCTGGCGCAGAGCCCTGGGGGTGAGCGTTCAGGCCTGGAGGGGTTGGGTGGGGACAGGAGCTAGAGAAGGGACAGAAAGGGAGGAAGGAGGACCTGCGGCAGGCCCACAGTCAGGAGTAAAGAAGGGAGACAGGTCGGCGCTGTAGCTGTCGCCACAAGCTTGCCCCACGAGAAGGGTCTGCATGAGGCCCTGGCCTGGAACCTCCCACCGGCCTCTTGACTTCTGCCCTTCTCTGGGCACTCCCAGCCCTGTGGACTGCCTGGCACTTAGACCTCGAGCTGACTTGGGGCTCAGGCCTTTACTTCTGGGGGTCACTGCCCCAGAGCAGAGGCAGGAGAGAGCCCTGCGGGTTACCTGGGAGGGGCCGCTGGAAAGGCCATCCCGGCGTCCGTTGTAAATGTACACGCTGCCGAAGCTGGCGCCGTCATCTGCCCCCCAACCCTCCAGCGGAGCCCCGATGGCCACATCGGTGAGCTTATCTTGACTGATATCCCCCACTGTTGCCATGGCAAAGCCAAATCGGGCATCAGCGAACCCAGGCTGCCCACTCAGCGTGCTTGCCAAGGAGAAGGAGCCATCCTGTAGAGCAAACAGGTGGCTCAGCTCTCCAGACCGGGGTGCAGGGTGCCCACCCCAGTGCCACCCCAGGGGGCACGCTCATGAGGCTTTTCATCCAGATTCTCCGGCAGGGAGTCTGAGGCCCAGAGGAGGAAAGGGACCTACACAGTGAGTAAGTGACGAAGCTGGGGTCCCACCTCAAGCTCAGGACCAGAGCCAGCCCACTCTGCTCCCACCGTTGGGCACACTGGGCTGGCAACCGGGAGGCCTGGGTTCTAGTCTTGACTCTACCCTACAGGTGCTCCATAAACTCAGACAAGTTTTAACACCACTGAGCCTCAGCTCCCTCCCCTGTAAGGGGTGAGTGACTGCTACGCCCAGAGAAATGGGTGAGATAATACACTGTGCTGCTGCTTGAGGCATTATCACCACCAAAGAGATGAGATGGGGAAAATGAGAAAGTGGGGTTCAGGAGGGAGGAGAGCCGCTGTCCACCTGGCTGCCATCCACCCTCCCCATCACTGCCTTCCGGAGCAAGGCAGGGCAGGGTGCTTCCAGCCTCCACCACCTCTGCACGAGACCTGCGGCCGCAGCCTCCACAGCTTGCAAAGGTAGAGACTCTCCCACCTGCTTATTCACACGGTACACGTAGACTCTGCCTTCCTGTCCGTGAACGTGGTAAAACGGAGCAGCCACCAGCAAGAAGTCCGTCGTTCCATCCATGTCGATGTCCACAGGACACAGTTCAGAGCCAAAATAGGACCCCATCTACAGCCCAGGAGGAACTCAGCTCACGGGGAACACGGGGGAGACCCCCCCCCCAGTAAGGCTAGACCCCTGCTCCTGCCCTTCCTGAATCAATCTGTTCACCAAAGTAACACAGGAGACTGGGAGAGCAGGCCGATCCCCCACAGTGGGGAGCTTCCCCAGGCCGGGTCCACATCCACTGTGCCCTGGAGCCCATCCCCTTCCCTCGGGCCTCCGGATCCCCCATCTGTAATAACGGAGGGTCCCATGGTCCCGAGGTACCTGCTCTCCCTCCAGCACCGGCATGAAGTTGGTCTCTCTGCCCTCCTTCTGGACTTCAAACACGGCCCCTCGATGCCTGTGCCGTGGAGCCCCCGCCACGTAGGAGAGGCCACAGGTCTTATGCAGCGTGGCCACCGAATAACCTGGCCAGGAGTGTTGGGGCTGTGATCAGGCACCCCCAAATGGCCACTCCTTTGTTCCCTAACCCCTGCCACCTTCCCAGCCAGGCTTTCGAAGTGGCCTGGGCAGGAAGACAGTCTCGTCTTTTTAAAAACTGGCATCAGGGAGCTCTCCCACTTACCCACTATTGCTGGTCACACACGTGCCCCACCACACAGCTGTGATATACACACATCATCACATGTACAGCGTTGCTCAAAATGCACTCATTCGAACACCCGAGATATAAGGGCTGAGGTGAGGGGTGAAGGGTCTCTCACCACTGTTATTAATGGTGAGGTCCCGTCTTCCCTGGGCAGCCATCCAGGGCCACTCCATGAATAGAGTACTGAGCAGGCCTTGTCCCCTCCCAGAAGGCCCTAATTTTCAGCCTCCAGGTCCCTAACCAGGGCCCATTCCTCAGTCCATGTGACCAAGCTCGGCCATTCCCAACTAGGAAGCCTAGTGCAGCCTAAGGTGAAACCTCAGTGGCCCTACCCAGGCCCCGCCCTCACCCAGGTGGTCCCCAGGCCCCACACTCACCCAGGTGGTCCCCAGGCCCCACACTCACCCAGGTGGCCCCCAGGCCCCACACTCATCCAGGTGGCCTCCAGGCCCCACCCTCACCCAGGTGGCCTCCAGGCCCCACCCTCACCCAGGTGGCCTCCAGGCCCCACACCCACCCAGGTGGCCTCCAGGCCCCACACCCACCCAGGTGGTCCCCAGGCCCCACACTCACCCAGGTGGCCTCCAGGCCCCGCCCTCACCCAGGTGGCCTCCAGGCCCCGCCCTCACCCAGGTGGTCTCCAGGCCCCGCCCTCACCCAGGTGGCCTCCAGGCCCCACCCTCACCCAGGTGGCCTCCAGGCCCCGCCCTCACCCAGGTGGCCTCCAGGCCCCGCCCTCACCCAGGTGGTCTCCAGGCCCCACCCTCACCCAGGTGGCCTCCAGGCCCTGCCCTCACCCAGGTGGTCTCCAGGCCCCACCCTCACCCAGGTAGCTGTGCTTTCCAGCCTTGGTGTCCACCACTGTCTGGTTTAGGAAGTGGCCCCGGCGGCTTTGCATGTCATAGAGCAACACGCCCCCCGACCAGTCAAAGGCCCCGACAGCACCGAGCAGCACCTGGCCCTGCAGGGGACAAAGGTGGAGGCCATCTGAGCCGGAGGTGTCCGGGTGCTGCCACTGCAGCCTCGGGTCTACCGGCCAGCACAGCGGAACGTGTGCTGTAGGAGAAGAGGGGCATTCCTTGGCCCCGTGCCCTCCTGGCCAGCCATGCAGGAGGAGGGTGAGAAGGCAAACACTGGCTTCCTGCCTTGTCCCCATGACCCTGTCAGGGGAGCTGTCCCTTTGACCCCACCCCCCACCCCCAGAGCAGATGGGAAGCACCGCAGAGGAGTGACTGAGAAGGCTGTGTTCTCCTTCGCGGCTGCCCCCTGGGCCTGGCACACGAGGCCCACCTGGGCTGAGGGACAGTGCTTGCTGTGCACAGGGGCCATGTCCTCGCTGTGCCTGAACTCAGCCCACCTGGGAGAAGGGGCCCCTGGGAGGGGCGGCCACTTGGCCAGCTGGCCAGGCCACAGCCTGCTCCTAGTCTGTCTTTTAAGAACTGCTCAACCCTCGAGCACACGGACTAGACAGCCTTCTGTAATCAACACGGCCATCCTCCCGTCCACCCCAGACGTCCAGGTTAGGCGAGCAAGCAGGGGTGTTTTCCGTTACCCTGACGCTGCCCGAGAGGCATCACCGTAGCGGGCAGAGCCCTGCACTGCGAGCCGAGGGTCCCTGAGTCCCGGGTGCTGCTGGGGGCCCTCCTCTATGGCGAGCCTGCCCGGTGCTCAGTGGGCCACGTACCTCACCCAGCATCTGGGCGCTGAACCCGACCTGTGCCAGCTGGTAGTGGAGAGCTTCTCCGACTGTGCCTGTAAGCCAAGGAGCCCCTGAGACACTGCTGTGGGCAAGGTGAGGGGGAAACCAAGCCAGGGAAGGGTCCTGCCCGGCCTCGCTCCCAGATGGGTGACGGGACGAGCACCAGGCTGAGAGTGAGACATAGGACCTGCTTTGGCAGCTACTGGCAGAGAGCCTGTGAAGTCCTGGGAGCAGGACCCATGCCCCGTCATCCTTTCTCCAGCACCCGGTCAGCTCCTCAGAGCTTCACGGAGACGCGGGGAAGGGCAGAGTGCTGGGACAGTGTCGCCTTTCTAGAGATGGAAGAGCTGAGGCTCAGAGGGGACGGGAGCTGCCCAGAGCGCCACATGGAGGGACCAGGGGTGGGGCTGGAGGGCGGGCTTAGACCTCTTGCTCGTGCCCAGGGGGCAGCCACAACATGGCACAGGCCCCGGAGGCTCACCTTCCATAGGAACGATGCTCTGCTGGAGTTGGCTCAGCAGCCCGTCCAGTGCCGCGTAGTTGGTCACCTTGAAGGCATGGGTCTCCTTGGGGTCCGAGGCGATCAGCTTCAGTTCGCTCTCAGTCTTCGCCTTCTTAAATGCATCCCCCACCTGCACCGAGGCCCCAGACCAGCGGGTCAGCACGGTGAGAGCTGGCTGGTTGCTAGGCCCCAAGGTGTCTCCAGGCCCAGGGAGAGGCTGAACCCCACCACCTGGCCTTCAGGGCCTCCATCGCCTGCCCCCTGCTTTCCCTGCTCCCTGTTCTCCTCCAAACACACTCTGGGCTCCAGTTTCACCAATCTACGTGTGTGTCCCTGAACACACCTGGCTCCTTCTCACCTCTGCAAATGCTGTCCCCTCTGCCTGCAGAGCCCTTCCCGCCTCCCCCATTCCCTAGGCCAGCTCCTCCGGCCTGTCCTCCAAGGCTCAGCTCAGCACCCTCTTCTCCAGGACCACCCACCCCCACCCCGATGCCTTTCCTGTAGGCCCCCAGAGTGACCACTGCTCTCTCCATTCCTGCTGGGCAAGTAGCTGTTGCCCACACTGGGAACTGGGCCTCCTGTGGGAAGACCCAGTAGGAGTGGGGCTGCGCACGGGACATGGGGACTGGGAGAAAAGAAGCTGGTGTCTGTGAACAGAACAGGGTTTGGGTAAGCTACATACAGAAGCCCCTACCAGGAAGCCTGGCTCCCCCCACCCCAGGCTACACAGGGTGTGCAGGTACCCCCCTGCTCCTGGCTCTTACCCCAATGGCAAAGCGCTCAACACCTTGCATCTTTGGAGAGTTGATGACAGTTGTAAGGTTGAGGGTGTCCTCGAATATGTCCCCATCGGTGAGCACCACCATGACCTTGGACGCGGTTTTTCTAGAGCCGTGGCTTGGCGAGAAGATGCTGTTTCTAAGGAGGGGAGAGTCGAGGAAGTGGAGGACTTTGCCAGAAGGGTGGCTGAGCTTGGGGAGACTTCATTCACAAACCCATTTTAGAATTGGAAAGGATTAAGAAGCCCTCCCAGGGGAACGAATGCCCAAGGAGGAGTGGGGATACCCCTACGGCACAAAGCAGGGCTGGGTGGGGGTGGGGACCTGCTCCCAATAGAAAGGTGCTGGACAGCACAAGGAATAGATTTTTCTGGGAGTAATAATGAAATTAATAACAGTGGCTAAGCCTGCCAGTGTGGCTCAGTGGCCGAGCACAGACCCTTGCACCAGGAGGTCGCTGGTTTGATTCCCGGTCAGAGGATGTGCCCAGGTCGTGGGTCTAATCCCCAGTGGGGGCATGCAGGAGGTGGCCAATTGATGTTCGCTCTCATTGATGTTTCTATCTCTCTCTCCCCCTCTCTTCCTCTCTCTCCAAAATCAATAAAAAATTAAAATTAAAAAAAAGAAAACAGTGGCTAATACTTACAAAATGCTTCTGTGCCAGGCACTGTTGTAGGCACTGTACATATTTAAACCTATTTAATCCTCACAAAATCCTCTAAGGCAAGTACTATTATTATTCTCATTTTAAAAGCGAGGAACCAAGCACAGAGAGGTTAGGTGCCCAAGGTCTCCAACTACAAACTGGAGCTGGGACGTGGACCTAGGCAGCCTGGGCACTGAACCCAGCCCTGTCTGCACTGTGCTCTGTCTACTGCCGCTCACAAGATGAGTCTTCAGAAGAATTATTAGAGGACTGTCCTGGGGTGTCATTCATCAGCCAAGGCTGGACAGCAAGACCTCACATTCCCCTCTCAGCCAAGGAAGAACGAGAACCCCAGTCCTCTCCTCTTTACAGTTCTGTCCGGCCACCTCTCCAGGCTCGATGCTTCAAAGCCTCTGGGCAGGGATGCCAGCCAGCACCCAGTCGGTGCTCAGGCTCACACTCACAGGACATGCTGCATGGCGGAAGCGGTCTTGGTGACACTCCCCACTTGAGTGATGTTCTGGACTCTGCCAAGGGAGGCCATCACATCCTGGCTGTACCGAAGGTCAAACTCAGTCTGGATCACCGCTCCGTACTGCACCAGGGCAAAGCTGCACTGGAGGGAGGGGCCGAGGGGGGAGAAGGTTGGTAGAGTCGCCATGCCCAAGGCCCTTGAATGGCTCCCCCTACAAGCAGTGGAAGAATCCACTCACTCCTCACTGAGGCAGGAGGAGCTGCTAAGTGGAAGGGACATCTCTAAGCAAGTGGGACTGGAGGAAGGTGCGAGAGTGACGGTTCCCAATGAATCACAGACTTCTCCCTGAACTCATGACCTTGAGTAATCCCTCTCCCCTTCCTAATGACCATGTGACTTTCTTTGGCAGTAGGGATATCAGCAAATGAGATATAATCAGAGACATAAAAAGTGCTGTGTGCTTTAGTTCTTGCCCTCTTGGAGTGTTGCAGCCATGGAAATGTCAGGATGACCTGCTAGAGACACATGGCCAGACAAGTGAGGCCAGTCAGCCCCAGTTATGCAACCAGATACCTCAGCTGCAGGAAAAAACTTCAGGTAAGACCAGAAGAACCGCCTAGCTGAGCCCAGCCAAGCCCAGCCCACATAGCTGCCCCACAGAGCTGTGAGCAGATCAGTGGTAGTTGTTTTGAGGTGGTTTGTTCACAGTGATAGATAGCAACAGACTGTGAGTCCAGCTCCTAGGAAAGCCCACCTCGAAGCACTTCTCGTAGACGTTCCTCATCATGTTAGAGATGAAGTCTTTGGCTCTCTGGAAGTCTGGGGGATCGATGCTTCCTGAACCATCCAGGATGATGGCAATCTCGGTGCCTGGGCCAAGACAGGGAACCGGTCAGGAGTGGGCATGGGATTTGGGACAGCAGTGAAGGCAGCATATCTTGCCCTTCAGGGTACCCACCCCATTCAAGCCCCAAGGGCTCATTTCAGGGAAGAAGTCGGTAAAGTTCCTAAGGGCAAAGCCTTTGACTCAGAGGCAGAGAGAGCCAGGAGCAGCTGGGGCTCTGACTCTGTGGGCCACTCCCATTACTCCCATGCTCTGGGCCTCAGTTTCCCCATCTGTAAGATGGAGGAGGGCAGAGCTGGGACTGGCCAGGCCCGTAGAATCCAGCCAGTTGAATTCAGCCGCTGCTTCCCATCACCCAGACCTAGGCACCTCTCACCCCTGGAGGTCGCCAGCCTAGGCAACAGCCCTGAGAGCCTCTGGGAGCAACCCAGATCCGCCTCTTCTCACCAGCTCCTGCCTCCTCCTCCGCCTCCGCCACCTCCTCCTCCTCCTCCTCCTCCGCCTTCAGAGCCCGGCGCTGCCTGGCTGGATTCTCTGTGCTGCCTTTTTTGTTCCTATAGCAGTCTCCAGCATCCACATGTGTCTCAGGATCCAGGAGATTTTCTTTAAAAAGAACACACATGGAAGAGCTCAGAGTGAGACAGCCTCCTGTCCACCTGGGGCAAGCCTGCACTTAGCCCACTGGGGCCTAGGCCTGACTCGCCCTCTCCGGGCCCATGTCCCTCTGCATCCGCTGTGGGCCAGTGCCTCTTCTTTTTTCTTTTTTTTTATCCTCACCCGAGGACATTTTTCCATTTTTTGTTCAGATAGAGTGGGAGGGAGAGAGAGGAAGAGAGAGAGAGAGAAACATCGACATGAAGGGACACATCGAGTGGCTGCCACCCACACGACCAACCAGGGCCGGGGACAAACTGCAACCGAGGTACGTGCCCTTAGCGGGAACCGAACCCGGGTCTCTCTGTACTGCAGGCTGGCGCTCTAACCGCTGAGCCAAACCGGCTAGGGCCCAGTGCCTCTTCTTGGAGACCTCTTCAGAGCTGTCCAAGGCCAGGGAGTATCCAATCCTTACCAATGTCGTTGAAAGAGACCTGGGTCTGGGGACTGAGGTCAGGGGCCAGCAGGCTGCAGGTGCCCGTGAGTTCTGAGCTGAGGCTGTGGGGCCGCCGGCCCACCATCTGAATGCAGATCTGGGAAGAGGGAGAAAAGGAGAGGGGAAGTCTGGGTCACCCCCAGCCCAGGCCCCCTGGTCACCGCTACCCAGAACCAAGCGCCTCAACCAGGCAGGGGGTACAGGAACAGCGTGCTCACCCCTCACCGGGGGTAGGAGTTGGCGCCAGGGTCAGAGCTGAGGTGAGCACCTGGGTCAGTGGGCTGGGTCACATGAAATACCCAGTCAAAGCCTCAGTCAGCCCTGGAGCTGGCACCAGGAAGACAGTTGGGTTTGGCCCTGAGAATAACTTGCTAGTCAGGACTGGTATGAATACCGGTCTCCCCAAGGCCCTCCGCCCCATGCACACTTACCAAAACCCCGTGGTGGTTCCGGACCACTGTCACTCCCCGGTGCCTCCCCTTTGGGAGGGAGACATGCTCTGAAAGAGTTAAGCCCAGTGAGGTGGGAGGGGCACAGGAAGGCACCCTGGAGCCCAGGTCAGAGGGCACAGGGCCTGTGATGTCTGCCCTGTGCCAGCCTTGTTCCAGATGGTGACAGGGACCTAGAAATAACTGAGACCTGGTGCTTTCCCTCCAGGGGCTTGTCTGGTGGGGCAGTGGGTAGAGCAGCACTAGGTGGTGGGTGTGCAGCGCGGGGGAGGTGAGCAAGATGCCGAGGTGAACCCCCAACTCAAAGACCCATCTCTGGGGAATCTTACTGCCCCACAACCCCAGGGGCAGAGGTGCAGTTCCTTCCTCTCCCTTCCCAATGTGGGCCTCAGGAGACTTTCTTTTCTTTTTTTTCTTTATCGATTTTAGAGGGAGAGGGAGAGAGAGATAGAAACATTGATGAGCGAGAACATCGACTGGCCGCCTCCTGCATGCCCCCCACTGGGGATTAGACCCACAACCTGGGCATGTGCCCTGACAGGGAATCGAACCAGTGATCTCTTGGTGTATGGGTCAACACTCAACCACTGAGCCACACCAGCTGGATGAGACTGTCTCATTTTTGAGCCACTAGATCACTCTGTCACCCTGCTGGGCTATGTCTCCTTCTGAGGTTGTTCAACACAGTGCCTATCACAGAGACGGGGACTCTGCCCTACACAGTGGAGGGGTGTGTCAGCAAATGTGTGCCTGGAGTTGGACTGGGTAGGATGGGTAGAGTTTTGTTAGTAAGTAAATTTGGTCCATTCATTGGTTCATTCATTTATTCAATATGAATGAACATAGCATTTATTGAGCACCTAATATGTGCCAGGTCCCATGCTAGACATTAGGGTGGCCACAGTCAGACTGGGAGCAGAGGGGTGGACTCCACCGAGGTGTGATAAGTTGGGATAGGTTAGGTTTTGGAACTGGGGAAGTTGGGTGTGTATCTATGGTGCCACTAGTACTATTTGTGTGACCTTAGTCATACTGGTAACCAAAGGACTTCTCTGAACTGGAGCTTCCTCTTCTGTCACATGGTATGGTTTTGAGGATTAAAAGTGAATGAAGAAGTCCGGCTGGTGTGGCTCAGTGGTTGAGTGTTGTGGGCCCGATCCCCAGTGGGGGGCATGCAGGAGGCGGCCAGTCGATGTTTTCTCCCATCGATATTTCTATCTCTCTCTCCCTCTCCCTTCCTCTCTCTCTAAAATCAATAAAGAGGAAACAAAAATTTTAAATAAAAGTGAATGAAGAAGCATTTAGCATGCTAAAATACCCAATACATTTTAGGTATCATTTTTGTTGTTAGGATTGGGTCAGAAAAGGTGGGCTGGGATTATGGTTGGGTTGGGATGAGGTTGGGCATTGGAAGAGAAAATGAGCTGTGGGTGGTGGTGGAGTCTAGGCGGGAGGGACTGCATTAGATGGGGCTGGGGCTGGAATGGTTTGGGCTGGCTGAGTGGGACCCTTAAAAGGGGGTCCGGGGAGCATTCTCTGGAGCTGGGCCTGACTTACCTACAGGTTGGCAAAGAATCTCATGCTGGGTGAGGAAACATCGATGTAGGGACCCTGCTGTCCTTTTGGTTCCAGAGCTGGTGACCAGGAGCCTGAGAGGGAGGGTAGACGGCAAAGTTGAGCTGGTTGCTGATGCCCTTCTCCTCCCTGCCTGCAGCACAGTCTTCCCCCTCCAGGCCCGCAGGCCCGCAGGCTCCGTCTGGAAACTACGGGGAAGGTGCAGCCCCGGGAGGCGGCAGACTCCCGGCCCAGGACGGCGGATGTCGCATCACGCGGAAGGCATTGCTCAGCCTCTACCTTTCCGCAGCTCCGGGCAGGCAGTGGTTAGAGGCACCCCCTCTCTGCCCTCTGGCCCTCCCTGACAGAGACGGGGTGACCGTGGTGGTAAATAAAGGCTCTGCTCTTGGTGGCAGTGGGGGGACCAGGAAGCCACCAGCAGCACAGTGGGTTATACTGGGGGCAGTGATGGCTTTCCAGTGGCTGCCCCGCTGGCCTCAGTGACACTCTTTCCTGAGAAGAGCACGCTGGTGCCCCTCTCCTGTGAGTCAGTCAGAACTGGAGGCCTGGGGGGGCACCCCCGCCTGGGTAGGGCACCCCCGCCTGGGTAGGGCAGCCTCGACCTGCCCACCCCTGGCTCAGCCTAAACCTTCTCACTGCCCACACTGCCCAGGGGGGCTGGGCTGCCTGAGGCAGGAGGTGCGCCCCCATCCTAGGGTTGTGAGGAGGGGGTTTGGGGAAGGAGCCCTGCAGCTGGACTTGGTAACAGTGAACCCAGTCCGAGGTCTTCCTGCGGAGGACAGTCGGAAGCCACAGCAGACTTTACGCAAGGGAAGCACACGATTAGCCTATGGTTTGAAAGGTCATAATGAGGCTGTAGAGGGCTGGGGCTGGGCAGGAATGAGGTGCTGCCTCCCCTTCCTCACCTCCCATCACTCTACATCTTTAAAAATGATGAAACACATCCGTCAATTATCTCCACGGTTTACAGAATGATAACAACATCGACACCTGTGTGTGTGCCCTGCCAGCTTAACCCACCCCAAACTGGCTTCCACCCCAGGTCACCAGTGGTCCCCACATTGCCAGATCCAATGGACACCTTTCTGTCTTCATCTCCAACCTCTCAGCAGCCCTGGGCGTCAGTGACAATCTCCCCGAAACATTTTCTTCTAGATGTCCTCCTACTTTCCTACCTCTCTCTGCTACTCCGCTGGCTCCTCCGCTGTCTGACTTCCAAACGGAGTCCTGAGGCTGGGTCCCCTTTCCTTGCCAGCTCCCTCTCCCAGCGACCCCCCGCCGCCCCCCCGCCGCCCCACGGCTTCAATGCTGAGATTCCCACCTCTGTAAGTGCGGCCCTAGCGTCCCTCCACCAGAAGTCAGACCAGCCCAGCAGCAGAAAGCAGAATAATGTCCAGCTCGCCCCTGCACAGGACAAGGTGTCTGTGTCCTGATCTCCAGAACCTGTGCCTCTGCAACCTTCAGGGTCCCAGTGACTTTGTGGACTTGATTAAGTCAAGGATGGATATGGGGAGATTATCCTGGATTTTTTTTAAATTTAAATTTTATTTTCCAATGACAGCTTACATTCAATATTAATTTGTATCAGTTTCAGGTGTACAGCATAGTGGTTAGACAATCATGTCTAATCATGTACTTTACAAAGCGATCCCTCGATCCCTCGATAGTTCAACCAGGCACCAGACACAGTTATTACAATGTTACTGACTGTATTCCCTGTGCTGTACTTGACACCCCTGGGACTACTTTGTGACGACCAATCCGTACTTCTCAATCCCTTCGCCTTTTTTACCCAGCCCCCCAAACCCGCTCCCCTCTGGCAACCTTCAGCCTGTTCTCTGTATCCATGAGTCTGTTTCTGTGTTGTTTATTCATTTATTTTGTTCTCTAGATTACACATGTAAGTGATATCACATGGTGTCTTGGACTACTGAGTGGTCCCAATGGATAAGAGTCCTTATAAGAGGGAAGCAGGAGGGTCAGAGTCAGAGAAAGATTTGAAGATGCTACACTGCTGGTTTTAAAGACAGAGGAAGGAGCCCGGCCAGTGTGGCTCCGTGGTTGAGCATCGACCATGCACCAAGAGGTAGCTGGTCCGATTCCCAGGCAGGGCACATGCCCAGGTTGTGGGCCCGATCCTCAGGGGGGGGCATGCAGGGGGCGACCAGTCGATGTTCTCTCTCATCAATGTTTCTATCTCTCTCTCCCTCTCCCTTCCTCTCTCTCTAAAATCAATAAAGAAAAAGGAATATTTTTAAAATGGAGGAAGGGGTCACAAGCCAAAAAATGCAGGCAGCCTCTGGGAGCTGAAAGGCAAGGAAATGGATTCTCCCTGGGAGCCTCCAGACAGTACCCAGCCCTGCGACACGGTGAGACCCACGTTGGAGACTTCTGTCCTCCAGAGCTGAACAACAATGAACCTGTACTGTTTTAAGCCACCGAATGTATTATAATCTGTCGTGGCAGCAATAGGAAACTAATACAGTAGTCAGCTGCCCATTGCCTGATAGGCATCTCAAACTGAAAATGTCCAGAGCAGAACACATGATCTTGACCTCCCAAGCTGCCCCCTTCCGTCTTCCCCAGCGATGTATGGCGCCGCCAACCACTGCGTTCTACATCCCGAAGCCTGGGAGCATCCTTGCTTCACCCTTTCACTCACCCTACATCAAACCCGTCCGTAAACCCTGCTAGTTCCTTCTCCAAATTATATCTAGAGAGCATTTCTCTCTCTCTCTCTCTTTCTCTCTTTCTTTCTTTCTTTCTTTCTTTCTTTCTTTCTTTCTTTCTTTCTCTTTCTTTCTTTTTAATGTTTTTCCTTTATTGATTTTACAGAGAGAGGAAATGAGAGAGAGAGAGAGAAATATCGATGAGAGAGAACATCATTGGCCACCTCCTCCATGCCCCGCACTGGGGATCAGGCCCATAACCTGGGCGTGTGCCCTGACTAGGAATCAAACCAGTGACCTCTTGGTGTATGGGTCGACGCTCAACCACTGAACCACACCAGCCAGACTCTCTCTTTCTTTTTTTTTTTTTAATCCTCACCCAAGGACATTTTTTCCATTTTTTGTTCAGATAGAGTGGGAGCAAGAGAGAGAGAGAGAAACATCGATGTGAAAGGGACACATCGAGTGGCTGCCACCCACACAACCCAACCAGGGCTGGGGACAAACTGTAACCAAGGTAAGTGCCCTTAGCGGGAACCGAACCTGGGTCTCTCTGGACCGCAGGCCGACACTCTAACCGCTGAGCCAAACCGGCCAGGGTATCTTTTTTTAATGTATCAATATTATCAATTTATTTTAACAAACAGCAGTCAACATTCTTGGAAAATGTGACATCTTTCCTAACGTCAAAGTGAAAAATGTCAAGTCCAGAAATACTGTACATTTTGAAAACAAACAAAGAGGTAGTGGGAAACACATGATGAGACACTGAGATATATTTTAAAACAAAATAATTAAAAAGGGTGAGGCTGTGGCAGACACCAAACAGAACTAACACACAACCCCAAGTCCACACTGGGGAATCCGAAGCGCAGCCCCCAGGACAGACTGTGGACGTGTGAGCTGCAGAGCAAAGAGCAGTTCCTCTCTCCTTTCCCCGCCATCCTGGCCCCTCATCTTAAGCCTGCTCTATGGTAACAGCATCCTAACTGTTACTTTTTGTTTCCTAAATCTACTCTTGTAATTTTCACCAGGTCACTCCCTACCTCAGTAGCTTCCCCTGTGCTTAGAAAAAGAGTCCTGCCCTGGCCGGTTTGGCTCAGCAGTTAGAGCGTCGGCCTGCGGTCCAGAGAGACCCGGGTTCGGTTCCTGCTAAGGGCATGTACCTCGGTAGCAGTTTGTCCCCGGCTCTGGTTGGGTCATGCGGGTGGCAGCCACTCGATGTGTCCCTTTCACGTCGATGTTTCTCTCTCTCTCTCTCTCCCTCCCACTCTATCTGAACAAAAATGAAAAAATAAAAAAAGAGAAAAGAAAAAGAGTCCAACCTGGCTGGTGTGGCTCAGTGGATGGGGCGTCGTCCCGTGGACTGAGAGGTCCCTGCTCGATTCCCGGTGAGGGCACATGCCCAGGTTGCAGGCTTGATTGCCAGTAGGGGGTGTGCGGGAGGCAGCCAATGGATGCTTCTCTCTCACATTGAAGTTTCTATTTCTCTCTCTCTAAAAAATAAATTAAACATTTTTTTTTTTAAAGAGCCCATATCCTTGCTGCAGCCCACAGGGCCTTACGCAGTCCAGCCCCTTCCTTCCCTCGCCGAGCCCCAGCCACGCACTGCTGGCCCCTGCTCCCAGCCGGCCCAGCTCCTTCCAGCCTTGGCCCTCTGCCTTGCCGTGCCCTCTGCCTAGAACTCGCACCTCCCACTCCCCAAGGCTGGCTTGGCCTCCTCCAACTGTCACCTCCTCATACGTGCCTCAACCAGCCCCACCTCACCTTCAAGTCACCCTGTTTTATTTCCTTCAGAACTCATCACATCTGACAGTATTTTGTTTACATGTTTGTATCTGACTCCCCCACGGGCCTGTCAGCTCCCCAAGGATCTCGTCTCTCTGGTGTGCCAGCTTATCCCCAGGGTCCAGGGCAGTGCCAGGCACAAAGTGAGGGCTCGCTCAGTGTTTGCTGAGTGATGACTAAATGACAGCCCAGGCTGCAGGTAAGGGGACTAATCTCGGGCAGGGCCGAGGGGTGGAGAACCAGGTACAGCTGAACTCTGCAGGCTCTGCAGCTGAGCCCCCAAATTAGGTCAGCTGTTCAACAACTCTGCCTTTCTCCTCAGCACCCCCACCCCAGAGCCTGAGCCTCAGCCCTGGCCCAGCACCTCAGAACAGGGCTGTGCCCCAGACAGTGTTTTGGTGGGGTAGGTGCAGGCCTGGAACGGCCTCCGCTGTCCTTCCTCCTGCTGGCCTGTGCCCAAGCTCTTCCCTCTGCCTGAACCGCCCTTTCCTCCCTCTCCCTGCGAGCAGTCATCCCAAACCGCAGCTCCTCAGGAAGCCTTCCCAAAGGGAGCAACTTGACCCCTCCAAGTGGTCCAGGTGGCCCTAACTACCAGAACCACCCCCATCCCTGCCTTTTGTTCCCACCTAGGCTGTGGGTTCCCAAGAGACCACGGTGCAGCTGTGCAGGCTGTGTCCTGTGTTCCCACCGCCGCCCGGCAGGGCGCTCAGGCCTCGCTGTGGCCCGGGGCTCAGTCTGAGCTGCCTCTGCTGCCCCCTCTGTATCGCAGCACCATGCTGGGTGGCCTCTTGATCTCCAGGTTTGTTGACTGAGTGATTGGTAAATGAACTAAACAATAACTGAACCCACCACAGGCTGACCCCCATCTGATTAATTCACCCAACTCTAACCTGCCTCTGTTCTCCGTCTATTCCCACCCCCGCCGGGAAGGCCTTCCTTCCATTCCACTCCATTCCCCCAGTAGCAGCCAAGCCCTGGGTGCTGGGCCAGCCCTGGCGGTATGTGTGAGGAGGACAGGACGCGAGGGGCGCATCCTCTCATGCACAGCACAGCACCTGCTCCTCTGTGGCCTGGTGGCCGGCAGAGCACTTCCTGCCGCGAGCAGCGGGCGCGTGGTCTCTGGCTGGAACCCAGGAGTGCCTCCCACCACATCCTCCCATGAGCCTCCATCCGCTTCACAAGTGTTCAGGGACCTTTTCATGAGCCCCACCCCTTGGTGGGCTCAGAGCCTTCTGTTCTGGGGGCTTCAAGCTCCCCTCCTCCACCATGTGTCCTTTTAGCTCAGCTTCTGAGGGAGGGAGCCTTAAGTCTGTGGGGCCTGGAGCTGGGGAGGGCCCTGCAGAGCTGCTGGTGGGAGGGAGCTCAGACGGAGATGGTCACAGATGACTCAGACTGAAACCCGGCCTTCCCAAGCACGCGTGGAGCAATCAGAACACGCACGCACACGTTTGAAAAGCCAAACTAAGCCAGCGCATCGTAAGCTGTGATGAGTGTGAGGATGTGCGTCTGCTTTCTCACTACTGTGCCCTCAGGACCAGGCTCGCTGTAGATGCTCCATACAAATGTTTGCTGAGTGAAAGACTGTTGCATGTATTGTTCTACAACTTGCCTTTTTCTCCTTACCATGTTTCCAGATTGATCTAGGTTCATAACACTGCACACCTTTCATTCATTTGACCTGCAGCTACTACTGATGGTATGATTTGCAGCGTGTTTCTGCCATTTTTGGAGCGCTGACCGTTTCCAGTCTTTCGCCATTCCACGCAGGGCCACCATAAATACCCTGACCTGAGAATTCCTCTAGGGCTGGACCTGGGAGTGGAATTACTGAGTCCAAGGCCACATGCATCTTCAATTTGACCACACATGGCAAACTCACCAAGGTGGCTACACCAATTTACGTTCTTGAAAGTTCCTGTACAACCACATCCTTACCAACAGAATGCTAATCTGATTTAGTTTTTTGCTTATCTAATGAGTGGGTATAGAAGATATTTTAAAAATACAAGATAACATTATTGAGGTTTAATTTGGCCAGAAACTATGCTAAACCCTTTAGGTGCAAGAACTCAACTAGTCTTTGCCTCAGCCCTGTGAGGCAGGTGACTCCCACACCACTGGAGATGAGAAGCCAGGCTGGGGGTGGGGGATGGGGAGGAGCGTTGCTACAGAGTGAAGCTGCCACTGAACCACGGCTGCCAGACCCACAGCTGCCTCCTAGCCACCACGCCCTCTTGCCTCAGTTTCCTTAAAAACATTTTTTTTTTCTTTATTGATTTTTTAGAGAGAGAGGAAGGGAGAAGGAGAGATAGAAACATCGAAGAGAGAGAACATCGATCAGCCACTTCCTGCATGTCCCCCACTGGAGATGTGGCCCACAACCTGGGCATGTGCCTGACTGGGAATCGAATCGGCAACCTCTTGGTGCATGGGTCAATGCTCAACCACTGAGCCACACCAGCCGGGCTCAGTTTCCTTTTTTTTTTTTTAATCCCTCACCTGAGGATATTTTTCTACTTATTATCAGAGACAGTGGGAGGGAGGGAGAAAGAGGGAGAGAGAAACATCGATGTGATAGAGCCACATCGACTGGTTGTCTCCTGCACAACCCAACCAGGGCCGGGGACAAACTGTAACCGAGGTACGTGCCCTTGACTGGAATCAAACCCGCAACTCATTGGTCTGCGGGCCGATGCTCTAACTGCTGAGCCAAACCGGCCAGGGCTTAGTTTCCATTTTTAAAAAATATTTTTATCACTGTCTTCTACATTGAGCATGTAGCACTTTTGTAAGAGACAAAAGATCCTTAATAAACTTTATTTTAGAATAGTTTTGAAGTCCCCTTACCCCTATCTCAGCAGTAAAGAAAGAGACCGGTGAGGAGAGGGGCCGGGTGAACTGGCCTGGGGCTCACATTCTCTCCTGCACGCCCTTGGGAAAGGACAAGGAGGTTCTCCCCAGACTGTGGGGGGAGGTGCCAAGGCCTCCTCTGGGGCCCCCACAGTCCTCACGCTGCCTGTCTGCTGGGTCCCACTCACCAGGTCTGGTTGCTGCTGGGGTCTTGGTGCAAAAGGGAGCTGAGCACATAAGGCCCGTCGCCCGCGGGAGTCACCCAGGTCCAGGCCACATCCACGGTGAAGGCTCCCAGAGGAGCCAGGCCTATGAAGGAAAGAGGAATATTTAACAAAACAGGTACCTGTTGAGGCTGTGGCTGCGCCTTTTTGCCAGTTATTCTATCAAGTCCTGCAGTGTCACCATCCCCATTGTACAGATGAGAAAAGTGAGACCCTCAAGGACTATTTTTTTCATGGGAACAGAACTGGAATGCAGAGGCCCTGAGCCTCCTACTGAACCTAGTTGTGTCAGCACCAAGATCCCTCAGCAGGAGGCCTGGTTCTCCCCACCAGAAACACTTCCCACCTTCTCATACCTCCCACCATGCACTTCCTGTACCTGTCACTGTGTCTTTGTACCAATGTTAAAATAGACACTGAGCCCTGGCCAGTTTGGCTCAGCAGTTAGAGCATCGGCCTGTGGTCCAGAGAGACCCGGGTTCGGTTCCCGCTAAGGGCACATACCTCGGTTGCAGTTTGTCCCCGGCCCTGGTTGGGTCATGTGGGTGGCAGCTACTCGATATGTCCCTTTCACGTTGATGTTTCTCTCTCTCTCTCTCTCTCTCCCTCCCACTCTATCTGAATAAAAAATAGAAAAATGTCCTTGGGTGAGGATAAAAAAAAATAGACAGTGAGCCCCAGGGTGAGTGTCTGCATATATTCAGGCTATGTATCCCCAAGTGACTCAAGAGAAAACATTTTCTCAGAAATACCTGCACACAAGAATGCTTATACAGCTTTATTTGCAACAGTCCCAAACTGGAAACAACCCAAATATCCATCCACTGGGGAAGGGATAAACTAACTGTTGTATATGCATACACTGGAATACTACTCAGGAGTGAAAAGGAATGGGCAGCTAACACACACAGCAATATGGGTGAATCACAAATATCATTATGTTGATTGAAAGAAGCCTTACATGTAAAATTTAATGAACATAACAGTCTGAGGAATAGAGTAGACCCAGAGACGTGGAAGTAGGGTACAGACTGCCAACCCTCAAAAGAGGGGGTTGTGGGGGAAGGGAAGAGATAAACCACAGAACTTACATGCATGTAAGCATAACCCATGGACATGGACAACAAAGCTGAGAATGGGGTGGGGGGGATGGGGAGGAGGGTGACAATGGGGAAAAAAAGGAGAAACATCTGTAACAAAAATTAAATTAAAAATAAAAAAGTACCACACAAAAATAAGAAAGACGCCTTACATAAAAGAGTATTACTGTGTAATTCCATTTATGTAATGTCCTAGAGCCAGCTAAACTAATCTATAGTAAAAAATATTATTGCCTGGGGGATTAATTTAGATGGGACAGGAAGGAACTTTCTGGGGTGATGCAAAGACCTTGTATCTTATTGGAGTTTGGATTACAAAGGTGTGTTCATTTGTCAAAAACACACTGAATGATCCACTTAAAATGTGTGTGTTTTACTGTATACAAATGTTACCTCAAAAAAAAAAAAACTTATATAGGTATTGAACTCTAGTTGATATGTATGCTGAAATGTGAAGAGAGGACGTGTGCTGATGTCTGCAACTTACTTTGAAATGCATCAAAATATAAGATGCCTTGTGCTGGCTTTGGCAGCACATTTACTAACACTGGAACCATACAGAGAAGGTTAGCACAGCCCCTGTGCAAGGATGACATGCAAATCCGTGAAGCGTTCCATATTAAAAAAAAATCTATCTATCTATCTATCTATCTATCTATCTATCTATCTATCTATCTATCTATCTCCCGGCTGGTGTGGCTCAGTGGTTGAGTGTCTACCCATGCACCGAGAGGTTGGTCACCGGTTCAATTCCTGGTCAGGACACATGCTCAGGTTGTGGGCCAAATCCCCAGTGGGGGACATGTAGGAGGCGGCCAATCGATGTTCTCTCTCATCGATGTTTCTATCTCTCTCCCTCTCCCTTCCTCTCATTCTAAAATCAGTAAGAACAAAAAAATAGCCCTGGCCGGTTTGGCTCAGCGGTTAGAGCGTCAGCCCGCCGTCCAGAGAGACCCGGGTTCGGTTACCGCTAAGGGTACGTACCTCGGTTGCAGTTTGTCTCGGCCCTGGTTGGGGTCGTGTGGGTGGCAACCACTCGATGTGTCTCTCTCACATTGATGTTTCTCTCTCTCCCTCCCATGCTATCTGAACAAAAATGGAAAAATGTCCTCAGGTGAAGGGAAAAAAAAAAAAAAATATATATATATATATATATATATATATATATAAATAAATGGTATTTATACATCGATGTTTCTCTCTCTTTCTCCCCCTTCCTCTCTCTCTAAGTCAATTAAAAATATATATAAATCTAGCCCTGGCCAGTTTGGTTCAGCGGTTGGAGCGTCGGCCTGCGGTCCTGAGAGACCTGGGTTCGGTTCCCGCTAAGGGCGCGTACCTCGGTTGCAGTTTGTCCCCGGCCCTGGTCGGTTGTGCGCGTGGCAGCCACTCGATGTGTTCCTTTCACATCGATGTTTCTCTCTCTCTCTCTGTTCCTCTCTCTCCCTCCCACTCTACCTGAACAAAAAATGGAAAAATGTCCTCAGGTGAGGATAAAAAAAAAAAAATATATATATATATATAAATCTATATTATATGTAATATCTGTGATAATGCAAAAATAAAATGTTGACAATTGTAAAATCTAAGTGTGATATGTGGATGTTCACTGTACAATTTTTTCAAGTTTTCTGTATGTTTAAGCTTTTTCATTAAAAGTTTCTTGGGGAGCCCTGGCCAGTTTGGCTCAGCTGTTAGAACATCAGCCTGTAGATTAACAAGCTGCAGGTTTGATTCCAGTCAAGGGCACATACCTCGTTTGCAGTTTGTCCCCGGCCCTGGTCGGGGTCATGTGGGAGGCAACCAGTCGATGTGTCTCTCTCACATAGATGTTTCTCTTTCTCCCTCCCTCCCTCCAACTCTATCTGGTGATAAATAGAAAAATATCCTCAGGTGAGGATTAAAAAAAATTTTTTTTCTTGGGGAAATTGACGTATCCAGATTGCACCCCAAAGACAGAACTGGGGGAGGCCTCAATGGACTGTGTGCAATCTTTTCATTCTTGTTTTAGAAGAGTATCTCATTATTTCATTCCAAAACTATTTTTTAATTATAAATGAGGTCAAGCCTCTTAAGTTCATTTATTGCCCATTCACATACGTTATCCTTTTTTTTTTTTCTTTAATCTTCAACTGAGAATATTTTCCCATTGATTTTCAGATAGAGTGGGAAGGAGGGCGGGAGTGAGGGAGTGAGGGAGAGAGAGAAACATTGATGTGAGAGACACATCGATTGGTTGCTTCCTGCACGACCCTGACCAGGGCCAGGGATCAAACCTGCAACTGAGGTACGTGCCCTTGACCAAGATCAAACCTGACATTATTTAGTCCGCCGTCTGATGCTCTAAACACTGAGCAAACCAGCTAGGGCTACATTATTCATTTTTATGAGGTACTTACTGTTTTTTTATTCATTTGTAAGAGCTTTTTGAATCCAAAGAAATTGTCAATGTTTCTCACTTAGCTATTTAGCATATGGTATTTTTTTTCCCAAGTCTACATTTTTTATGGAGTCAAATTATTATTTTTTCTTTTCTTTTCAACATTTAATATTTGTCATTTATTAAGGTCATGGATATGTGTCATACATTAAGGCTTCAGAGTTCCAGTAAACCCACTCAAAACTAAAAATTATGGGGCAAGTATTAGGAGAATGCTCTGAGAAATGACAGCTTAGCTTAATGCCTTATGTCTGAATGCAGATGACAAGATACTTTTTCTCCATTAGCCTGCTGACCAGATAAAGAAACGGTTTCTAGAACACATCTGCTTCAGTGATCACATACAAGAAAGAGAAAATGGCTTAAAGCTCATTCTAAAATAAATTCACAATTGGAACAAATTAAAAAGTCTAAACAAATCTAATGTGTACCTATTCTCAAAAAGAGACTGTTCAACTTATCAGGAATTGAATGAAAAGTTTTCTAGTATGAACTCTATCTTTGATTTAGGCACAGCTTACCACATTTGAAATAGTTTTATTTACCTAATTCAGGTTTTAGTTTTTTTCTCCAGTTTTTATTAATTTATTTTTGTTACAGATGTTTCTCCTTTCCTCCCCATCCCACCCTCCCCCCTTATTTTTTCTTTATGACTCAAGTTCTGTGTCATGCTTCCCTATTCAGAGGCTATTTCTTTCAATTCACTGTTTTCTTTGACATTGTCTTTGTTTCATTTCTTATGCTTGAATCTTTGATTCATCTAGATTTTCTTTCTGTGCATGGAGTGAAATAGGGATTCAGCTTTACTTTTTCTTCCCCCAAATGAAATTATCTCAACATTATCCCCACAGATTTGAAATACGACCTTTATCATTCTTAGAATTCTCATATGCATCTGGGCCTCTGCAAAGACTCAGTTCTGCCCCACTAGCCTCATTGTTTCTTACTTGGACATGTTCCTTCGTCCCCTGAGCTTGTTCTCTGCCAAGGCTTGTCCTTCTGTACCAGCTAAAAGAGAGATTTTTTTTTTCTTTTTCATTTATTGTTTTTTTGTTTTGTTTTGTTTTGTTTTGAGAGAGAGCGAGAGAGAAAGATTGATTTGTTGTTATGCGTTCACTAGTTGATTCCTGTATGTGCCCTGACTGGGGATGGAACCTGCAACCTTGGCGTATCGGGACGACGCTCTAACCCACTGAGCTGCCCAGCTAGGGCTTGCCAGAAAGAATTCTTAAAAGCATGGTCTGACCACGTCACTCCACGGTTTAAAAGGTTCTATTTACATGGAAAAGGCCAGTAAAGTTCAATCTATAGACTAACTTGTTCAATTACTGTTTGAACGTAATGGCTTTTTGCCATAATGGCTCTTAAAAAGCTATACCACTTTTTGAACAACACTCCTATTTTATGATAGAATAATGACTTTTTCTTCCCTGAATATACCAAATAAACATGCCAGAACGAGTGATATTCTGACATCCCACTTTCAGGGAATAAACACATTCGCCAGTTTACTTTAATGGAACAGTTTCTAGCCGACATATCCTAAGGAACGGCTTGGCATTGCTGGCCAGGTTTGGATAAACCCCAAAGGCTTAGTTTTGCAGAAGCATGCCACCTGGGAGGGCTGAAGAGGTAGCGTCTTCTCTGGCTCTGCAGCCTGCTGAGTATGTGAGCCATTTCCATGTGTTTCAAAGTGCTTTTAGGTTTAGTACTTCCTTTGCCCTCAAGGTATTTTTCTAGGCTATAACTTCATTTTTAAATAAAAATAAAGGTTTGGTGGTTTTTTCCTGAAAGATAGGCATGAGTCTCCAGAAGGTTGAAAAACAGTGAAGAAAAGGTGTAGAATAAAATGTACCTTCTCAATGACTCCCTCACACCTATCCTACACCACCCATGTTAAGTCTTCATTCTCTCCTTTAACAAGAACAATAAACCCTCATTACAGGAAGTTGTATATGTAGACTGTATCTTTAATTCAAATTACTGTTTTTTTTTTAATATAAATTTGATTTATGGGTCAATTAATAAATTTTTCCATCATTAAAAATTGTTTGGGGCCCTGGCTGGTTTGGCTCAGCAGTCAGAGCGTCGGCCCGTGGACTGGAGAGTTCCGGGTTCAGTTCTTGCTAAGGGCATGTGTCTCGGTTGCGGTTTGTCCCCGCCCCGGTTGGGGTCGTGTGGGTGGCAGCCAGTCGATGTGTATCTCTCACGTCAATGTTTCTCGCTCTCTCTTCTTCCCTCTCTCCCTCCCACTCTATCTGAAGATAAATGCAGAAAAAAATGTCCTCTGGTGAGGATAAAAAATGAATATAAAATAAATAAAAAATTGTTTAGGTATTGGGTTAGATGGACTGTATCACAATTTTTCATTGAAATTGATGGGAATATTTTTTCTCATGAATGGCTTTTCCATTAGCAGTAGAGTTTTAGGAACTAATTAAAGTGAGTAAGCAAAGTGTAGGTTTGTAGACTATGCTATATTTTATATATAAGAGAAGAAAATATACACATACAAATAAGTTGTGTTTCATTCACCAGGAAGATATAACAATTTAAAATCTATATGCATCCAATAGCATGGCTTTAAAATATACATAACAAAAATGTACTGAATTAAAAGAGAAAGTACAAAAATCAAGAACCAAAGTGGGAGACTGTAATGTTTTAACAAATCTTTTATATTAGCTCTAAAAGCCCACAAAAAATCATTAAGAATACAAAAATCTGAACACCATTAACAAGCTTGATTTAATTGACTAAGCAGGACACTGTACCCAACAATGGTAAAATAAGCATTCTTTGACATGCACATAAAACATTTACCAAAATTGACCATATGCAGGCCCCATTAATAAATGTCAGTAGTTCGAAATAATTCAGAACATGTTCTCGAACTCCAGTGAAATTAAACTAGAGATCAATAACAAAAAGAAAACTTTAAAAAATGAGCATTTTGGAAATTAACACACTTCTAAGTAACCTAGGATCAAAGATGAAATCACAGTGAAAACTCGAAAATATGTTGAACGGAATGAGAATTAAGATATGACAACTCAAAACTCGTGGGAGGCCTCTGCAGCCTGGGGGAATGACTCAGCACACGGCCGGAGGCTGTCTTCTCAGCTCTCTCCCCAGAGCCACCAACCCCAGACTCTTCTCACGCACTCTGCCCTCCCTCTGCCCG